TAGAACTGCCCAGATCATATGCCCCTTATACAAATCTTTTGATGTGACCTCATTTAGACTATTGTGAGCAGTTCTGGTTAAAAAGGATATTATTTAGTTGAGAAAATTACAGAAAACAAAAATGATCAGGGGGCTGCAGCAGCTCCCCTGTGAGGAGTGGCTACAGCAACTAGGATTGTTCAGCTTAGAAAAATGGTGGCTAAGGGGAGACATGATAGAAGTGCTTAAAATAATGCATAGTTTGGAGAGGGTGGCATTTCCTTTCCCTCTCCAATAATCTAGAATGCAGAGCCATGTTATGAAGCTGATTGGTGGGAGGTTTAGGACAGATGAAAAGCCCTTCATGCAGCATATAGTTAAATTATGGAATTGGCTGTCACAGGAAGTGTTGATAGCCACCAATTTGGCTGACATTAAGAATGGATTGGGCAGATTCATGGAGGAGGAGGCTATTGGTGGCTACTGGACTTGATGGCTACGCACTACCTTCTTTTCCAGAGGTGACATGCCTGCATACACAAGTTGCTGTGGAGACTGGACAGAAGGAGGCCTTGCACCCATTTTGCTTGAGCAAGCTGGTGGGCAGCTGGTTTGCTGCCATGTGTACAGAGTGCTGGACTAGGAGTAGGTGAACCCTGGTTTGATCCAGCATACCTTTTCTTTTTCTTTCTTCTAGGGCAGAACACCCATTCATCTATGGCCACCATGGGCCTTTTCTGTCATCAGTGCAGCCAGATACTGGGTAGTAGATCTTTTTCACATAACTATTTCCCCAGGAGTTTCACCAACCCCTCTACTAAGAGTAGTGAGTGGCAGGACTGAATGCTGAGTGATAAGGCCCGCGAGATTCTCAATGCAAAAAGTATATATGAAATTCTTCTACAGGAGTTTCCAATAGGTGCCTATTTGGCATCCCCCCAACCCATTTTTAACGTAAGTACACAGATTTGTATGAAATGCATTCCACTGTCTAGCAATTATGCGTAGGCATCACTAGGCAACAGACCATGCAAGCCTCTATTGGAGCCTGTGATCTGCATGCCACCCATTCACAGATCAACAGTGGTGTAAGGACCTCAATCCATTGCATTCTAGGTGAGTTGTTTATCCTTCCAGTTTTGTAATTATACTTGCAGCACTCAAAGGTGTGTGGAACTTATTTCCTCTTCCATTTGTTAATTTTTATGACTCAGGTAAACTTGGAGCACACACATTAGTGAATATTAAAAATGGTTCCAGCATGAAATTTATCCATGTAATAACCTCCTCCTAAAAAGAAGCAACTGCTGGACATTGCCAAAAGATATGTTTATGCAGTAGTTATATTGCACTGCCAGCAAATAGCTAAAAAAGATAGTCCCTTATTAAAGAGATGTTCTAGTGGCCAATGGGGGTGGGGGAAGCTTTTGCTGAATAAGATGCAGCCCAAAATCCATAGACACAGAAGCTAGATGTCAAAGCAGCAATCAGTTCCCCAAATTTCCCAGTGTACCCAAGGATCCAAAAAAGGGGGCCCTGTACTGCTATGTAAACTGTTTCGGTAAACTCTTAAGTTACACATTAAAAGTCTTTAATAAATAAGGGAGACAGCACTCAACTCGAAGTCCTGCATTGAGCAAGGGGGTTGGATCCGATGGCCCTCTGGCCCCTTCCAGCTGTACTATTCTGTGAGACTATGATTTCAAGTCCCAAACCATTTAGGACAGACTTCCATAACTAGGAGAACTCTAGATAGGTCTGACTACAGCATCCCCACCCAGTTATGATCCCCATCTGTATCACAGGAATAAATGAAGGGTGAACGAGATATGGCACAGTTTGAACTTTGAGCCACAAACCTGAAATGATTGGCAGTATCAAGAAAGACAAGTATCTTTTGAACCAAAGTTGAGCTCAGCCAGTGCCAGGATAAACCTTCAGTTGCGTGAGATGGAGCAACAGATGGAATTCAGTTTGCCCACCGGTACTTATTCCCAGTGAGGAACCCCACAAGTTCCTCTCCTCCTTCCTGACAGTAATCTCTCTCCCTCCCCCTCCCTTATACTCAGCGGTTCCGTACAGACTTGTTCAGTGCACATATCGCAGGACTGTCTTGCACAGCATAGCTGGCAAACGAACAAGCAAAGCTCAGGGTTCTGCAAAGGGGTAGTGGGGAAAAGTCCTGGTTCCAAAGCCATTGAAGTTGTGATTTAAGCATGTGCTGAACTAAAAGAATTAAGAGCTTATACTTGAAATACCTCTCCACAGGTTGAAGCCTTTTGTTGATTGCCTTCCTGGGTGCTTTTTCTACAAGGCTGGAATGATTCTAGATGGCAGCCAAGCCATGAGACCAATGGACTGTCCAAGTAAAATGTGTACAAAATGTTGCATTTAATTACTTCCATGTATACAAGCCAAACGCATTGGCAGTCTTGTGTTGCTGCTATTTGAGCACGTTTAAGAAACTGGTGGCATTTAATGTGGCTTTGACTTAACCTGACAGGAGTTGGGTTAAACCTGTTGCATCACTGCAAACTGGAATAAGTAAGCTCTGTTTATAAAAGTGCCAAGGTTGTTCAATGGGGGCTTTTTTTTTAAAAAAAGCTTGCTACTCCAGGCCTTTTGATGCACAAGTCATGTGACACAGATCTGTTAAATGCTCCAACTATCTGGTTTCATGGCAATCTAGATATGAATTCATCTAGATCTGGGGGGATAATCTGCTAGCCAGAAAGCTACAGCCATTTGCTATAATCAGTGATGTCTAAAGTTCAGAGATCTCTTTTCTGTGGCATTTTCCCATGATGAGAGATTTCTGCATGAGGAAAACTGTCTGCAAACTTGTGTTGTGGCATGTTCTATTTTGTCATAAAGGAAACAGCTGCGGCAGCTGCCACAGAAATCTGTTTCCCACTGTCCACGTGGCAAAGCTCAATTCTTGTGCCACGCTTCAGGCATGAAAAATGCCACTTCTAAAGAACCTCTAATTTAATGATAAGACAACTTGGCTCAGTTTTCTCAGACGGCCAGGCAGAATGCCTTTGTTTCTTGACATTCTTCTCTCAATTCAAGAGGCGGCAAAAAAGAAATGGTGAATGGGATTACTGGAAGCCAAAGCGTTTTTTTTAAACGTCCCAGTGGAAGCAGTCCTAGTGAGGTTCAAAAATAGGGAGCAGCAAACTAAAGGCTTCCCTGGAGAAATGTCAAGGAAGTGGAGATGACATGAGCATATTCTTGTTCAGTCTTGGCTGGGAGTGATGAGTAGGGAATTTAATTTAACCCTAGTCTGTGCTTCAGCACAATCACTTGCCAGTGCAGGTTTGTCAACCAGCCCAGAATGGCTCATTGTCAAGAGTATACATTAAAGCCATAGTAAACATCTCAGTGTTACCATTCCCACATGCATTACTAGGGAATCAGCTGGAATTTATTTTTGCTGCAGGCTTCTGCAACCATGGGTTTGTTCTCTGTCCCAGATGGTGATGATCCTTAGGTTTTATTGTTCTTGGCCATCAACAATCCTATGCTTAGAAGCAGAGTCCTTTGCTCCCCTTTCTTGAGCAAAACAGACTACTTTCTGTACAAGGGCTTAACAAGACACAGGTTGTCTTGAGACAGACTCAAGGGAAGACATGGGGGAATGTTTTCCTTGCAGGGAAACTGCAAGCTCATTTTGTTCAGGGTGAAAGGGGGCCACTGCCACCCAACCCTTCAAAACTCTAAATGACCTTTGAAACATCCACCATTGCTGCAGGAATGGTATCTTCTTCCTTGCCTGTAGGACCTCCCCATGAGGTCCGTCTATCCCTTTCCTATCCTGTAGAGCTGGTGGCATAACTACCAAAATTCACCCCATCCCCCTTACTGTCAGTTGTGTATGAACACCTAAGCCTCCTCTTCTCCCTCCAACGCAAATGCATAGGATTTTCAGCGTAAAGGCTATAAGGTCAAGCCTAATGCCACTCTTGCATCCAGAGAGGAAGCATCGCCAACAACTGCTTCTAATACACAACCAGTTGTTGCTCTCTAACCAGAAGTTCTGGAAACAAGTCATTCCCACCATCCTCTAGCCCAGGAGGCAGGAAACCTTTTTAGATTCAAGGACATATTTGACATTTTGCTGTGAGCCGCCCCAAGGCTTTGTTGCATAGAAATGTTTTAAATAAATAATAACAAATTTCAAAAGCATCCTGGATGTTGAGAGTGTGATCAACCACAAAATGTTAGGTATTAGAGTGATTACAGAAAACGGTGTATAGAGTGTGTTCTCTTTCCTGTAACAGATTTCTCTGGATTCTTTCTTTGGCAGTTTTTCCTCTCTCTTGCTACATTTGTCTTTTCATCCCCCCCGCCCCCCCCCCACGTTCTCTCTCTTCCTTATTCTGGTTCTTCTCCCAATGATAATTTTTTGTTTGTTTGACTTCGGCTTTTTCTTATCTTCCCCGCCTAGCCCGGCTTTTTGAACTTGTTCTTATTTCCTCAGTCCCCTGCCCCACCACTCCTGTGCCCAAGTAACAGGCGTCAGGACGAGTGAGGTAGTGAGACAGTGTTAAATCCCAGCCCGCCCCGCGCTTTCTTGGCAACGCCAAGGCCCCGCAGACTGAGAGGGGAAGAGGCTTGGAAGAGGCGGCGACGAAAGGAGAGCCCGAGGGGGTCAAAGGCATCGCCCGGGCAAAACCCGAAGCGGAGGCGGCAGCCCCCACGCCTTCGCCGCCGCCTCTCCTTCCGCCTCCCGCGTAGCCGGAGGGAAGGCTGGCGGAGCGCTTGGACGCGAATGCGGCATTGGGGAGCCGAGCGGGGGCGGCCGCCCTCTCATGCCGCCGCGTCTATGATCCCGTCGCTGTTCGGACGCCGGAAGGGCGGCTGCCTCGAGTTACTGCGCAGGCGCCAACGGCCGTTTGTCAGCGGAAGTGGTTCGCCGCGAGACGGAAATGGACCGGCCGAGGCGGGTGCGCCAGAGGGAGCCGGAGCTGTTAAGTCCCTGCGCTGGCTTTCAGGTGGGGATGGGAGAAGATGGAGGTGCTGCCGACAACGGAGACCGGGAGAGGGGGCCGGCTCGCAGAGCCCCTCTGACAGGCTCGTCCCATAAGCATCTTCCTACAAGGGCTCGTCCTATTGGCTGCCGCCCATCCTATGGGCTCCCTCCTTCCTGCCCGGAAGACAGAGGCCCGCCCTCCCACCTTTCCAGCGCTTGTCCCTACGGCTTCGTTCGTCTGCTGCCCCCATTTTCTAGCTGGGGAGTATTCAGCTTTGTGGTGGGGCACTTAGTGTCTTGGGCAAGGGCTTTCCTTTAAGCGTTCAGGCGTGCAGGCGACACCTGCTTTATCTTCACAACAGTCCTGTTAGGTGGAGTAAACTGAGTGAAAGTGTCCGACCCAAAGAGTTTCAAATCCCTGCTGAGTTAATTATGTGAATTTAAAAAAAAGTTTTTCCATCTACTCTTCTAGAATGTTCGGAAGCAGTGCTCATATTACAGTTTGCGCTTCTTAAAAATATATAATACAAATATTTTACAAATAGTTGCAAAATTATTATGGGAAACTGGGATAGTTCTTTGTTGGTGATGTCATGGGCATTAGCTAGTGGTTGTTATGGGCTGTCAAGTCATCTCTGATTTATGGCAACCCTATGAATGAAAAATTTCCAAAACATCCTATCCATCACAATCCTGTTGAGCTCTTGTAAATTCCAGGCTGTGGCTTCTTTAAAGAGTCTAGTGCAGACGGTTTAGCTAGTGGGAGCTTACTATAGCCAGTGTTTCCTTGGCGCAAACTGAATCATCCTGAAAACCTTCAGGTCAATTTTCCCCCAGATATACCCCTGAAGAGGAAAAAAATTACATTTCTTTGGAGGGCAGGGATGAAGATACTCTTGCCATTCTTAAAGTGTCCATTTGCTTCATATTTAGTGATGACAGCGAAGATGGTTATTCAAGAAAGGCTTTGCTAAAGAACTGGGTGTTTGTGAGGACCTGCAAAGGGAAGCAATAACGAACAGAAGTTATTCAAAGCCTAGGTGGTCAGCATGGAGCAAGCACATGGGACATGAGAAGGAAGCCAGGAAGGAAGTGACTGTGGGTGAGTTTATATTAGTGGGGTGGGGGAATGAGAAGGTATAAGGGGAATCAGATAGGTAGTCAATGCCAAATGCAACAAAGGACCAATGCAACTTAAATGTTTGGGGTAGGAGGAGGACTTTAGATTCTTCTGTCTCAGCTCTTCCCTAATGTTACCATACTGTCCCTGAAAAGGTAATTGTTGTCAGCCTTTAAACTTGGTCTGCAGTCATCACCAGTGTTCTCATGTTTCCACACATGAAAGAAATAGTAATGAAGTAGCAGTGTATTTTATAATCTCCCCACTACAGCCTACACTGTGCCATCAACTCTGTCATCTTAGATCTTTATGGTGAGGCCTTTAAAGATTTACTTAGCTACCTTTGGCCTGAGGGGATTACCCATCCCAGGCATTCTCTTTTTTACAGGGATTTTTTCCTGTTCACTATAGGCTATTTTAAATGTGTTAATGCTGGTTTGATTTCATGATACTTATATTGTGTGGTCTTTATGGATTGCTGTAAGCAGCCCAGAGAGCTTTGGGTATGGGGCAGTATAGAAGTGAAATAGCAGCAGCAACAATATACCAGGTCACAGGTGTTCTGTTAAAAGATCTTTTTGTTCCACACTTAGAAAGGGCCTTTCTCTGAATATCTTAATATGCTTTTGCCACTCAGTCTAAACATTGCTAGATAGCACAAGAAGCTTCCGAAAGAAAGAAAAAATAATGCCTTGGGAAACCATAAAGATAACCCATGAGAGAGCAGGAATAAGTTCACTTGCTGTGGGCAGTACTCTGAAATGTCGATATGAATCTGCTCTTCATTTCAATTAGATTTAATGTCTTTACCTAGACAGGACAGATAAGCAGGCTCCTTCCCATGTTTCATCACTGATTTGCATTTAACAGCATACCAATGAGAGCTCTCTTTGGTAAAGCAGTTATGAAGCTAAAATATTCCACCACTTCCTGTTTCTTATTTGACTATAGCTTTCAGCCTTGGTCCTCCATCTGTAAGATAGGAGTGATTGGATTGCCCAGTAAGTAAAATACTTGGTAAATTAAAAGTACATTACAGATACAAGGGATTCCTCATTCTAGGTGTGGGGGAGATACTGGGAAGCTGGTTTAACACCCCACCCACACACAAAATAAGTGATAAACAGTAGCAAAAGATGCTAATAGTAATTCTGAGAGATTGCACTAAAGTGCTGTTGCTTAGAGATGGTCCTTGAATTGTATGCTGAAGAGAATGTAGAGGGGAGAGTGAAGCAGGTGTGGTACAAACTTATTTTGCAAGAGTGGGATGCTTGCAGACCCTTGATGCATTAGGTTGTTTAATTTGAAGCACAAGGATCACTGATGCTATATGTGTGTAAGGATTTCTTGGCTGGACCTCCTCTTTTTGCTTCAAACTTTATCATTATATAGTGAGATCCGAACAACATCTATTGAAACTAAGATCACACTATTTTTTACCAGTTCCGAAGTAGGGAGAAGCAATTCTTCGACTTACGGAGGGAAGCACATAATGACAAAGTCTAAAAAGCCAAATATAAGAAAATGGAAATTTAGGCCATGCTGTTATATGTAATTCTGTGAGCTATTTTGAACTCTGATTTAGTCAGCAATCATATCCTCATTTATGTGAGAGTAATCTTATTGAACTTAAGTCTTCATTCTGAGTAGGCATATATAGCATTGTTAAGCATTTAGCAGATCTAATGCATAGCTCAGAATTTGAAAAGATAAAAGTGATGTTTTGGTTTTGTTCTCTTTGCTTTTATTCATTTTCAATGTCTATTCCACCCTTCAGTCTTCAATACTCAAGGAAGCTTACAATATAACCTAGAGTAAAATATAATAAAAAATACCAGTGAAAAACAACCAATGCAATGAAACATAATCAACATCCATTAAGAGCAGTAGTAAAACCAGAATCACATTAGAGTCCATTAAAACCAAGAAAAACAAAGCAGATTTTACCAGAAGCATAAAAACCAATTGGAATTTGATGTCAGGTGGATGGGTGGTGAAAAGGGTTGCACAGATGAAGATCGGGTCTGTGCTGGCCACCTACTTTGTCTCCTAATGGGAAACGGGGCCAGAACCATGCTGTCAATGAAGATGTCACTGTTATCTTTTTAAACCAACAGCCTGCCTTAATTACTTTGGAGCAGCCAAAGCAGTCACCAGCAATACATAAAAGCAATCCTAGTGACACAACCCCAACGCCATACAAATTCAAGCATTAATAAAGACCTGCAGCCAGCCAAGCCAAACAAACCTGCATGAATACACAGCAAAATTCTCAGCCCAGCCCAAAGCCTTGAGGAAAACTAATTTGTCCCCAAATCATATATAAATTAAGTCTTCCCACTGCTCCTTTTAAAAATTAACCTTGACCTCAGACCAGTAAAAGATTTCCATTTAAACTGTATATCTGTTTGAATCGGAAATACATCTAAACAAATATTCTCTATAAAGGCTTTATCAAAAATAAAAGGGTGGGATGACTGCTTTGTGCAGAGCAAATGGAAGTGGCTAGAAATTGAGGGGAAGCAAACTACATTTTTCTTCATTTCTCAATGTTAAGAGAAATGTGAGGGGAGAAAATACTATATATCATATTAGCAAAAGTGTTCTGAGAATTGAATCTTGAGTTATTTTGTTCCAGAATATCCCTATTTTAATCTCAGATAATAATGTAAATATCTAAATCATTGCTTTATAGGAGTGTATACTCTGCCATGGATTTTATCTAGGAATCCTATATTATACCTAAATTTGATGGCAGCAGCAGTGCAAGGTGTGGAGTGGTACTGGCATCATGAGTACCTACTGCTCCCTGGCGGTAGCTAGTCTGCAATACAGGACTCGAAAGCCCTTTCATATTTCCATTTTAAAGGATTATTTAAAAATCCCATCATTTGACATAAAGGTTTCAGACTCTTGTTAACAGGAGAGAATAAAAATGGGAGTAGAAAGAATGGGAGTAGTCTGCTTTAAAACTGGTGAGCAAACAAGAGACATTGGCAAGGCTAAAATTTGCCATGAGGTTTTATTTTGTTTTTAAACCAATGGTTTGCTCTTTCTCCAGGGAATGTATGTACAGTGCAGTGACAAACCTTCTCAGTATTCTTTGATAATGGTCTGGGAGCTTTTGCTTACTCCTTAGAAAGGGTGTGTCTTGAACTATCCGTAGTATCTAGTTTCTGCATAAGATCATATGCAGCTTTCCCTTTCTCTGACATTCACAGTGCTTCTGCCCTCTTCCCATTATGATGGCTAAGATGTGTGCGGAGGAGAAGGTTGTGTTCTGTAGCAAGGGGGTTGCAGTGTGTCCCTGCAGCCTATACAGTACACAAGCCCCTTTGGAATCCTTGCAGATCACCCTTATAGGAACATGGGAAACAGCCTTACACTGAGCCAGACCATGGTCCATCTAACCTAGTTTTTGTTGACATTGCCTGGCAGTGGCTCTCCTGGGTGACAGGCAGGCATATTTTCATCCCCACGTGGAGTTGCTGGAGATCAGCCTTGAGACCTTGGGTATGCAAAGTGGGGACTCTGCCAAAGCATCAGTATTTTATTTCCCTCCCCACCACTTAAACTTGCTTGCTTGCTTTTTAATCAACACCTTTTCTGGGGAGAGGAGCAAAGACTGATGTGTTCCAGGCCTAGAGGGGACAGCTTGGTGAGAAACACCAGTTTATAGAAGTGTGCCACAGGCATTGTGATTGAAGATAGCCAAGTGTCTGGCCACTATCTGATGAGGTTGGGAGAAAGGTGAAAGACCCAAGCAATGGAGAGAGAGGAGGAAGCAGGAGCTGCCCCACTGTCACCCTACATTTCCCTGCTTATTCCTTTTTATTTAAAAGTTATTTTAATTGTTAATTTATGAACTGTATTTATTAGGTTTTTATGTACGTGCTGAGATGTTTCCGGTTTTTTAAGTCTAATTATATAACTGTTTATTAATGTTGTAAGCCGCCCCGAGGCTTTTTGTGAATGGGGTGGCATAGAAATGGTTTAAATACATACATACATACATACATTCCCAACATATGATAGGCGTTTCACTAGTAATAACTGATTTCTTCACAGATTGTCTTTGGAGACCCCAGGCTGTAGATTTATTCCCTTTATTCTGCATTTCCCCCAAGGAGCTCAAGTGGGGTTGCTTTGTTCTCTCCCTGAGATCCTCTGTGAAGTGGCCTAGCCTGAGAGATGGGAACCTGGGTCACCCAAGTACTATTTGGTTCTTCCTTCCATGTTATCCTCACAACAGTCCTTGGGGGTGAGTTAACTTGAGAGATGGAGACCAGCCCAAGGCCTCCCGCTGAGCTTTATGGCTGAGTGAAAAATTGAACTGTGGTCACCCTAGGCCTAGTCCAAGAGTCTGGCCACTGCCAGCAATTTTGGTGAGCAAGTGTTAGAATCATTAATTGCTTGTCGCTTACAAACATTTCACAAGCTTGTAATCTGATTTCAGGTTTCGAAATCACTGCAAGGAATTTCACATACAGAAGGCAACAACAAACCATGTGATGGCCTCCCAGGTCTGGCTGCCGCAGAAGAATGGAAGGGACCCTCGTTGCCAAAAGGTCATTTGGTTTGCAGTGTGTTGCAGAGTCATCTCGCTTCTCCTCCAGGCAAGTCTCCAAACACCGGGCACAGATGATTGCCTTTACTGAAATATAACTCATGTGTTCACCATTCATAATGGCCTCTAACAGGCATGAGGGGCCCCAGCTCAGCGGTGCTGAGGATCGGGTAGCAGCTGATGGGAAACTTGATGGGTGAACGGTGGGATACACTTCCACAAGATGTAGCGACAGCTACCAGCTTGATGGCTTTAAAGAGGGGCTGGACAGATTCACGGAGGAGAAGCCTAGCAGTGGCTACTATTCTCGATGGCTCTGTGCGACATCCCATTTCAGGAGCAGTGTGCCTTTGTGCACCAGTTGCTTGGGAACATGGGCAAGAGGGTGCTGTTATACACATGACCTGTTAGTTTCCTGACCCGTTTGGAAACAGAATGCTGGACTAGATTAATGGTTCTTAATCTAGTCCACCCAGAGTAGATGATACTGGGCTAAGCAAGGCCTGGTATCACCTCTGACTATTGCAGGGTGCTGCCTATAGAGATCACACATGAGGCACCTTCTCTGTGGTAGCAGCAGAAGGTAAGGTATCCTGCTGCCCATGCCCGTAGGCCCTTGCTAGTGTCAAGGCTTAGTTACAAGGGGCTGCAGGTGTCTCAGACCAAAAGCAAATGGGATGAACAGATGCCAGGAATTCATGCCCATTTGAAAGCAGGGTAAATCAGAGGCAAAGTAAGACATCGGTAAGGATTATTTTCAGTAAGAATAAACTGAAATGCAAGAGAAAAGGGCAGAGGGAGTCTGCATGAAGGCTTGCAGCAGGCCAGTCTGGGAGCAGGAGATAAAGCAAGCATTTCCCTAACTAGCACATCTCAAAGCCTTAAGGAGGAGCTGAATGGGTCAGAGCAAAAGTTCAACTAGTCCAGCATCCTCCTCCTCACAGGGGCTGACCAGAAACCTCTGAAAGTCACACCATCAGGAGAGCAGAAATCAGAGCTGTCCCCAGCAGTGGTATTCAGAGACAGACTGCATCTGAAGCTGGAGTTTCATATAGAGCCTTCAAGGCTTTAGCAGCTCACGTCCCTCCACTCCATGAGTTTGTTCAGCCCCCTTTTAAATCTACCAAAGCCGGCACATTGTTGGGGCAAGTTCCACAACCTAAAGTGTGGGTTCTTAATGTGATTGGTTGACCCTGACTCTGAATCCACTTCCTTCACACCATACATAAGTCTCTATGACAAATGTCCTGCCTCCCTCTATGGTTATTTTGCTGTTTGGGTTGCTTTGGAGCCTGCCCTGCTTTGCATATGGAAAATGAACAGGATTAGGTCGCAGGTGATGGGAAAGTCCTTTGCCTGCCGGACACCCTGGAGAGCCACTACCATCCAGAGTAGCCCACACAGGACTAGATGGATGATAAGTCTGAAATGACAGAAGGCAGCTTTCCATATTCACTTTTCAGGTGTGTGTTTTTTACCAGGTGTTTATACAGAGGTACATACAAACTACTAAATTTTTTGTATTCAGTGGGGTTTGCACTGGGGCAGATTAAATAGGATTTTAGCCCCAGTGAGGCACGTTTGAGCGTTTGGCTTTCTCATGATGGCCCCTGTAGGGGCTTTACCTGAGGCAGTTGTTCAGTCCATAGGCAGGTTCTAATATGGGGCATTTGACTGAATACCACCCATTAATGTCAGATAAGCTGCTTCCAGAAGAATTCCTTTTGGTCCTTTGTGGCTCTGCCTAGGTAAGGGTCAGGTGCTGCAAGGTGAGATGAATTATACCTTCTGGCCAGACAAACTGTCATTGCCACTAAGAACAGGTTTTGTTATAAAAGTGCATTTGCCTTTATTGGGCTTAATTTTATTCAGTGTAATGGCTCTCTATTTCTTGTTCCAAGGGATAATCAGTTTGCACAAAGGAAACCCCATGGTTTGATATTTTGAGTCTTACGTCTGCTCAGTGAGTTGATTGATTCTTTTCATTTGGCAGATGATCTTGGCACATATTGAAAATTGCAGCCTTTGGCATTACTGTTCTTTGTACCAGCTGATTAACCAGATGTACACAGCAGAATCAGAGGAGCGCTCTTTGGTTGGATTTTCAAAAGTGCCATAGCTTCAGTGTGTGCTAGTGCTGTGGGAACGTAGTCCAGTTTTCCCAAACCTGGTGCTTTCCAGATGTACTGGGCTGAAACTCTCAACTCCCAGCCACCATGGCCATTGGCTGGGCTTTATGGGAGCTGAGGTCCAGTGCATCAGGAAAGCACTAGGTTGGGGAAGGCATTGAACTATCAATTGGATGCTTCTGGTTTGACATTACCATTGCCATGAACTCAGGAGGATTCCTCAGATGAATACCTGCCCCAAGCTTACCTGCACAGTGTGGGGATAATAATACAGACCTGTCTTGCCAGTTTGTGGTAAGGATGGCAAGGTAATGTAAGGCTTTCTTTTCTTCTACCCTTTTCATTTCTGTATCTTATTTAAGAAAACAACAACAATATATAACAAAAGATAATGTAAGGTTAACCTCCCCACTCTTACAAGCATCTTACTCATATTTGTACTGAGCATGACTAGAGGGCTATAAGAGAATAGTATTAGTGGCCAAATAAAAGAGTTCACCTGTTGCAGGTTTTGCCGTCTTTCTGCTCTGCCCATAAAGGACAGAGATGCCTCTAAAAACAGCACCTCCATGGTTAATCATCCAAAACCTGGGCGTAACATCTGCAAGTGCATACCATGTGGATTGAGTCATCTTTCAGTAGCCATGGCTAAGAGGTACACTACACAAATGTTAGGGTTCCAAAACTCTAGAATACCTGCCTCGAGTATAAAATGAGGCAAAAAGCTGCCTGTGAAAGCTCCAGCCACACTAGATACCAGCTTTCTTCAACTTGGAACCCTCCCAATGTGCTGAACTGGCTGAGGATGATGGGTATTATAGTCCAGTGCATCTGGAGTGCACCAGTCTGGGGCGGTCTATGGTATAGATCACTTTCCATTCCTCCTTATTGTACCGTACGACAGTCTTCCACCTTCTTTTGGGGAAGGTGAAGAACAAGGTCTTAGCCTAATGGCCGCTTTCTTGTCCCCCACCCAGGCACTTTTCAACCTCCTGATCCCTGACCATGCTGCAGACGCCTTCTCTCCACCCCGCTTGTCCAAGCCTGGGTCCTGCGACAGGCTTGTGGAATGGCTCCTGGGAGGCCTGTCACGGTGGGATGCCGAACACTTCTTGTTCATAGCCGAGCATGGCTACGTGTATGAGCACAACTGTGCCTTCTTCCCCTTGTTTCCCCTGAGCCTACGAGTGGCCGCAGAAACAGCCCTGTGGCCCTTGCAGGGCGTCCTGTGTCTCCGGAGTCGCCTGCTCCTGTCTGCCGCTCTGCTCAATGGCCTCTTCTCTGTCTTGGCTTCCAGCATTCTGTATGAGCTCAGCTGTGCAGTCCTACAGTGCCGCAGGAGGGCCCTCCTGGCAGCCATTCTCTTTTGCCTCACCCCTGCTAACGTCTTTATGGCAGCTGCCTATTCGGAAAGCATGTTTGCTTTCCTAGTATTTGCTGCAATGTGGCAGCTAGAGAAGCAGCGACACTGGGCCAGCATGCTCCTCTTTTCGTTAGCCAGTGCTGTGCGTTCCAACGGACTGATCAATGCTGGGTTCCTGCTTTATTTCCAGACAAAACATGTTGCCTTCAAGCTCCAGAAGAGTGCAGAATCTAGGATAAAACTGTACCGCTTAGCTCAATTCCTAAACTGGGCAGCTTCCCTGGTGGTCACGACTGCCTTTGTTTTCTTGCCTTTTGCTCTGTTTCAATTCTATGCCTACCTTAAATTCTGCAAGCCCAGTGTGAGCCTGGACCGGACCGTGCCAAAACAGCTGTTGCAGCTGGCTGTGGATAAGGGGTATCGTGTAGCTGCCTCAAATGATGGGAAAGCCCCATGGTGCTCCTGGGACCTCCCTGTACTCTACACCTATATTCAAGATGTTTATTGGAATGTTGGCTTCCTCAGATACTTTGAGCCCAAACAGCTCCCCAACTTCCTACTAGCTGCACCTACTATATTGCTGGGCTCATGGGCAGCCTGGTGGTACATTGCTGCCAACCCTTGGCACTGCCTAACACTTGGCCTGGTTGGAAGAAAGACTGGAGGAATGCAGAAGGACTCTGGCAAGCCGGCTGCTGGCTTTTCCTCTCCTGGTGTATTTGTTTACATGGTTCACTCAACAGCTTTGTTGGTGTTTGGGACCTTCTGCATGCATGTACAGGTAAGTCTGGCAGGTTCTTCAAGCTGGGGAGTGTGTGTGTGTGTGTGTGTGTGAGGGGGTGAGTGGTAGCGGCTTAATAGCTCCTAAGCAAAGGTGGATCTAGTGCAGCATTGCCAGTCCTGACTGGCGACATGGGCTCTTGAACCCCACCCCTTAGGAGAAAACCTGAACAGGGGGTTGCAGTCACTGCTTGTTTCCAAAGTGAGTGTAGTGTCTGTTTGATACTTGTTTCATTTGCAGCTTATGCTTTTTAAAGGTATACCTCTATGATTTTATGTGTGCCTAAATGTTTAATGTACGAAGCAGCAAAATGTCAGGCTTTCCCAGCTGTTAACATGACACCCCTTAACTGGAGATAAAACTGAGATGCTAGATTTAGAGATGTATTTGAGACCGTATGCTGTGGTTGAGCTTTGCCTGCATGTGGTCCTGGTATCTCCAGGCAAGAAAAGGATCAGATAAGTGATGGAAATACCTCTGCATGAAATTCTAGGGGTGCTGCTAGGGGTGAACCAGTATCAGTCAGCCTCCTTTGTTCTTACATGCTTTGCCATTGACAGCTCAATTTAACTTGGGTTTTGTTACCAACAGGAGTAACAATAAATGGGAACTAGGAACACTTAGCCTGAAGAAATGAGGAGTAAGAGATTGCTGTGCTCAAATATGTAAATACTTTTTGCAAGATAAAAATAATTGTTCACTGTGGCCATAAAAGCAAAAATATTAGTCAGAGTAGCTGAGAGCTGAACTGTGCTGCAGGAAGGACCTTGCATCTAAAAATGGCAAGGAGTGGAGTGATGGGCCAGGATGCCTTGTGAAAAGGGAAGATTCTCCTGCCTGCCTTTAAGAAGCTTCCGTAGCTCATGAGCAGCAAGTCCTTGCACAGCAAAGGTTTCATAGAATCAGAATAGTAGTGCTGGAAGGGGCCAGAAGGCCATTGGGTACAACCGCCTGCTCAGTGCAGGACACCGAGTTAAACAATCAGATGGCTATCCAGTTTATTCAGAAGCACCTCCTGGGATCCTTCTTTGAACTTAGTGGTCAGCTTCTCAGAGGTCAGGAGCAAGGTGGAAAGAGGGTATCAGACTTTCAATAGAGTTGGCACTCAGTAAATGTAGTATCGGGAAACATTCTAAAGGTAGCACATTTAGAGCAATTCTGAGAGCATGGCTGGCACATGTGTGAAACAACGCATGGGTGTCAGGACATGTGGGAGTGAATGTACTGCCTCTGGCACAGTTGTCACGCTTTCAAATTAACAATCTCCTCTCTCTCCACTGTTAACCCAACAACAGCACATAGTTTGTTACTGGGTAAATACTGGGTTGTTTAACTCCTAAGCAATACAGAATGGCTAAGTTTGGATGGCACACTAGCAGTGTATGAAGAGGGTAATAGGCTGTTATTAATTGAATAGGCTGTTAATTGAAAGTGCAGTGATGAGCTCACCAGAAATAGCATCATGTGCTCTGGCATGGTGCTGGCAATTCATGGTTTAAATTAATTGGCATCATGTAATAAGCAGATAGTGGTTCCATAGTGAGAAGGTAAAACACAGGAGGCAAGGTTCCTGCAATTTAGTCTACCTGCCACCACCCATCTGTAAAATGCACCTGCAGTTCAAAAGTTGGGTGTGTCTTTGGTCCCACTTGAGTCTGGACAGGGCAACAGTGGGAGCAGTACTCTGGTGAGAATCGAGGGACAGTTTCCAAAGCATCGGCCTTGTTAATAAGTTTCAGCCAAAATACCAGGCATGTAGCATCTTACAGACTAGTAAATTCATTATGGCAATAATAATTCATTGAATTCTTAATATAATGAGTACTGTATGAGCCACCTCCTTTTTAGCTTCAAATAAAGTGCAGTTTTTCAGTAATTCAAATTTGACTGGCCAAGGTGTTCTGGCAATAAAAATGCTTGGTGTGTGAGTGTAGTGGGGAGGGTTGTAGTTAATCTAAAACTTATCTTTCTAGTTCTCCCATATCACCTGTCAATTTTCCCCTGCAGTGGTTTCTTTCGCTGCTATATTGCATTCCACCCTACAGTTGAAAGGATTTTGTTATTTCAATTACAATATTAATATACAGAATGTGTTTAGAGTTTGTCCCCAAAATAACCCAAGAAGATAAATTACCTGTGTTACAGATGGGAGACAGAAATTATTTATACCTAACTTTGTTGTTTTTATAGTGCTATTGGTTTATATGATTCTTTGAATAGAATTTAATGAGTGAGAAGGCAAGTCCCCATCCCAGAGAACTCACACTCTAAATTTTGACCGGCTGAGCTGCTGAGGCTGACAGTAGCTTAAATTAATCTGATCTGCTAATAGCTGAACTGGAATTTAATTTGAGGATTGCCAGGCTCATAGCAAATACTCTTAACTGCTGCTGCAGACCACTTCTTTAAAAAAAGAAAGCAAGCAGCTTTAACTACTGAGAGTAGGATTCATAACTTTGACTGCAAATTGGCAAGGCAGTAAACCAACTGACGTAGCCACTGATAAGCAGAAATTATAAAGTGGTATGTGATTATATGCAACGTAAGTGAAGAAAAATACCTAGTCCAAGCCTGGGTAGAAATTGTACGTTCTGTGGTCAAATCTGCCCCTAAATTGCAGGCAAATCATGCTGATTTGTATGTCTATGTTTGCATTTTGTACTTTCCTAAAGTTTGATGCAGAATAGGAAGGGTTCCATATGTTGGAATTGTTTTGAAGGTGTCAGGTGCCCAGACAGGAAAGTAACTCTTCCTTTACATTTGTTTAAATAGGTCATTACCAGATTTTTGGGTTCCTCCTCTCCAGTCCTTTATTGGTTCTCTGCTCATCTACTTTATGACAATGAAATGCTGCTACAGACTGAAAGTCCATCTTCACAGCATGAAGTACTTCCCTGTGAGAAGCACTCATTAAGAAGCTCTCCTAATTGGAGCAGGATGGAAAACCCTGTGTTGGCACTCCTAAGCAACTGGAGACAGAGTGCCACTCTCACCAAGGGTATTCTGGGATATGCACTTTCCTATTGGCTGCTGGGGCTGGTCCTTCATTGTAACTTCTTTCCTTGGACTTAAGAAATTAAAAACTGCTATGGATAGGCTGGATGATGAGAGCAGTAGTAGGCAGGAGTTTAATTAGGATCTTCTGCTAAATCCTCCTGAGATCTTGTATAATAGGACAGCATACAAAAGCTTTTAATCAATCAGTCAATCAATCTTGGGGTTATCTGAAGTGGATCAGCAAAGATGCCTAACTGCCAGTGGCTCAACAGTAGGAACAAAAAATGGCTTTGCAACAACATGTGAAGGACCGTGGGCCCAGTTCAGTTCTAGCACTCGGAATGAGAACCCGGCATAAGAGCACCCAGATCAGTACACAAGAACAGTCGTGCTGAAATGTCCAACTAGATGAGCATTCTGTTCACACGGTGATCGACCTGCTGTCCACAGGAAACCACCAGCAGGACACAGTAGAAGAGTACCCACCTGCTCATGTTCCCCAGCACCTGGTATATACATAGGTATATTGCTTCTGATACTGGAGATGGCGTATGGCCAGCAGGACTGGAGTATAGCCATTGCTAGAATTCTCCATGAACTTGTCCATTCCCCTTTTAAAGCTGTCCAGATTGGTGACCATCACTACCTCTTGTGAAAGTGAATTCCATAGTTGAGCACTGTGTTGAAGAAATACTTTTTCTCTGTTCAAAATCTCCCATCAATCAGTTTCATGGGATGACCCTGGGTTCTAGTATTCTGAGAGGGAGGAATAATGTCTCTCCTTACTTTCCTTTTTTCTAAGCTAAACAATCCCAAATGTTGGGACTGTTTCTCATAGGGGAGTTGTTTTAACTTCTTGAGCATTTTAGTCGCTCTTTTCTACATTTTTTTCAATTCTACAATTTCTTTCTTTAGGTGTAAGCAACCATAACTGTACACAATATTCTAAATGTGTTTGCACCATAGATTTATAAAAGGGCAGTATGATACTGGCAATTTTATTTCCAGTTCCTTTCCTAATTATGCCTGACATGAAGTTTGCCTTTTTCACAGCAGCTGCACATTGGGTTGACATACTCATCAAGCTCTAACCATAACTGCAAGATCTATTTCTTGCTCAGTCACCACTAGCTCAGATCTCATCTGCTTATAATTTGGATTTTTTGCCCCAACATGCATTACTTTACAGATGCTTTTGCCATTTTGAAGCCCCCTCTCTGAGTCTGGAGAGTTGCTTTTGGAGCTCCTAACAATCCCTTTTTGTTTTAAGCACACTAAATAATTGATGTCTCCTGCAAATTTGGCCACCTCACTGCCCACTCTGAATTCCAGATAATCTCTAAGTAAGTTGCAAAGTATTGGTCCTGATATATATCCTTGTGGGATCCCACTGCTTATATGCCTCCATTGCGAGAATTTACCATTTATCTTACTCTTCGTTTTCTGTACTTTAACTAGTTCCTGATCCTTAAGAAGACCTCTCCTCTTATTCCATAACTAAGTTTGCTTGTGGGTACTTTGGTGAATGACTTTGTCAAAAGCCTTTGGAAGTTTTTGGCAAGTAAACCATTTGTTCACTCCTGTTTATTGACCCTCTCAAAGAAATCTAAAAGATTAGTAAGACAGAACTTTCCTGTGGAAAAACCATGTTGATTCTTTTTCAGCAGGGCTTGTTCTTCTGTAAATGTACCAATTTTATCTTAAATGATGCTTTCAAATTATGCTTTCATCTAATATACCCAGAACAGATGTTAAGATCATCTGCCTGTAATTTCCCAGATCTCTGGATCCCTTTGTAAAAATTGATGTTGCATTTGCCATTAGCCAATCCTCTGGTACAGAGGTTCATCTTGGTTCATCTTAGGGACCTATTATATATGTTTGTTAGATCTCAGTGTTCTAGTTAAAAACAAGTCAGGCTTGTGGGATCTACATCTGCTATCCTCTGAACTAACAGAAAGATATAGCAGAACTGATTATTAGAGCATGTGGCACCCTTTTGCTAGAGTTTCTCTGGCTTCCAGTTGGTTTCTGGGACCAATGGAAAGTGATGATCATTAAAATCCCTAGATAGCTAAAATCGAGGCATCTAAAGGACTGTCTCTTCTCATATAAGCTTACATACTAGTTAAGATAAACAGGAGAGGCTCTTCTTCACATTCTATCTAGTTTGGACACAGGACAGCATTCTCTATGGCATTGCTCAGTCCTGGAATCCCCCTACTTAAGATGGTCCATCTTCATCTTACTCCTTCTCTAATGGTTCTTCCACCATCTTATGAAGACCATTCTTTTCCAGAAAGCATTTGGCCTGCTGAAATTAGGCTTGTTTTATTGATTCTTTGGAGAATGGTGTTTTTAAATGTCACTCCTATCTGCTGTCTCCATTTTTATTGTTAAAAATGATTAAACTATTATCATGTTCTGTTGTTTTAATATTAATTGCCTTCATTAGGAATATATCATTTTGACAATGAAAAATACAAAAATGTGGATATGACTTTAGGAAGAATGGCAATATCCAGATGGAGAGTCACCTTCTTCTTTTGAAAACCGTACAGGGAGGATCAGTCCACAAGGCTGCCAGTTCACTTGAGCAGCAGGCTGATACTGCAACTTCACAAGACAAGGTTTCTTTGCTGTTGGTGGCTCATATGTGTTAGTGTGAAGACGTGAAGCAGTATCAACAATCTCTGTTGCAGTGTTACAGGCTGGACTTGGAGGTGCAAGGTTGTGGATTCCACAAAGAAACCACTTCACCAAGCAAGAAAAAACAAACCCTGCAGTAGTAAATATGAAACCAGAATTGCGGATAAGTAAACTCAAATGGAAGAATACTTGTGTTCCTTCTCAATAGAAGTAAGGAAACAAAAAGCTTGTTGAACAGAACAAGGTACCTGCTTCAAAACATCCTGCACCATAAAAGATAAGAATATTGTCCATTTTCTTTTGTAGGAAATTCTAGTGGAAGACTTGTAGACTTCATTCACAATATCCCAAAATGAAGTGTGAACAGTCTAAGAGAGCCAGCCACAGTCTCCAAGCAGTTAGCTGGAGTGTTGCTAGGTCTGATTGTTGGATCTGACCCCAATCTGACATGAACAGAACTAGTATGGAGGGAAGATGATGTAGGCATCATCAAACCATGACTGCCTCAGCCACCAGGGAGCAATTAGAGAGTGCAGTTGGTGCCTTCTGCTTGAATCTTTGCAAGCACCCTCATTATCAGGAAGAAGCAAAGAAGACAGGTATGTCACAAGTACATGCACTTCTTTATTTTGTTTTGATAAGGGGTGCCATCTTAATATTTCCCTCTCTTTCTCTCAGTATGTAATGCTGCCATTTAGTTTAATAATTCCAATCATCATAATCAACCTTTTCCTCAATATTGTGCCCAAGTTACTTGACTCTTTCATTGGACTATATGGTCCTGAGGATGAGACACTATTACTCAAACAGCCTATGACTTGGAGTTGACAATAAACAAAAAACTTTATTTTTACATTAAGCATATTGGTTTCAAGATGTTCAGTAGCTTATTTCCTTAGTGAATAAACCAGTGTATAATAACAACTTCTGACTATCTCACCTTTTTCTTTCACAAGCACTCCTCACTCACAGATCCTGCTTTTTCTTCTGAATGTACTTTGACCAGTCTTTAATTTTATTTCAGTTTAATCTTTTCCTTCTGCACTCAGGTTTCTCTTAGCTTCTATCACTCACACCCTTCCTTATAATACTTGACAATAGTAGGTTTTGTCTCTCCATAGTTGCTAAAACATCCTCTAAGTATGCTACTTACTTCCCTTTCCTTGTGAATCCCAAGTGCTTTTGGGATTCTAATGCCAGCTTTGGGGATCTAATACCAAAGCTGCCTCTTCAGATTCTGCAGACCGCTGACTGACCACAGTTGACTGATCACAGGCTCCATCCTTACACTCTTACATCACCAGCCAATCACCTCATTCACTCATCCCCCACTTTTAGTCCCTTTGTCTGATATTCATATGCATACTACTAACTGGAATTGAAGTTCTTTTAGCCCAGGGGCTGAGTTCTCTGAACTTCTGGGGCATGTGAGCCCAAAGGCAAAAGGGTGCAGCATCAAAATGCCAAATAGGCTAGCACATTTTAGCTTGCTGGACACAATTCTGTGTTCTCCCAACACTGTCTGGGAAAAAAGTCTTGTGTATGCGTAAAACAAGTTGAGAAACTTTTTACTGTCTAACCATTTGTAGGACTGCATCTTAAGCTAATTGACAGATGCAAGATCTCATGGCCAGAGGGAGCTGCAACAAGATCATGCAGTATATATGGAATATTCCTTTTCTATGTGCAAGCCATGTCCCCTTCCAGAATACTCCAATGCAAACTATTCCATTTTGGTTCTCTCCCCACTATATATATATGGCTAATAAACCTGCCAAATTTTCATTGAGCTATTTGGAACAGGGGATTTTTCCTATAACATTGATTTTTTAAAAGCTTGTTACTTATGCAAACCTTAGCATACTCCCAAGCTTGCTGATACCTCCTCTTTCTTCTGTAAAATGTATTGCTTGGCTACCATGAAGGAATGAGATAAAGTAGCAAATTCAAACTTCATTCTCCGATGTGGTAAACATGTACCAGTGAGTAGGTACAATATGGAAGGTATGTTGCCTTCCTGAGGGGCAGGTGTACTAGATGGACGTTCAGTCTGTTCTAGCGGGGCTTCTTTTAATTTTGTCAGATATTATGTTTGTATTGTACCCATATGAGGAAGGTGCCCATTGCAGTGAAGTAACCAAAACATTTAACTTCACGTTACAAAAGGAAGACTTGAGTAACATATTTTTGGTAGAAGGGCAACATAATAAAATAAAATAAAACGCACTCTGCACATGATCAGAGGGATTCCCAAGGCTTTCCCCTCTCCCATCTTTTGATTAAGCCAAAGGTCGCAACTCCCAAGGAACTTTTGAACGGACGCAGCACAGGCTTCCCGGGAAGCCAAAGAGCCGCGGAAGGCCCCGCAGGCCTGTTCTCTCGCCGGCGAAAGGGCCTCCCTCAGCGCGCGGGGCGGCGAGGAGCGCGCGGCCGCCCGCGGCAGCGGCCCAGCGGGAGGCCTCTTGCAGTGCGCGCTCCTGGCCGCTCGGCTCGGGGGGGCGCTGCGACGGGAGGCCTCGTCCCGCGGCGCCCGCGGCGGGTGCGGGGGGGCGGTGGTGCGCCGGTTCCCGCTGGCCGGCCCTCTCGCCCGCCGCCGCCGCCGCCGCCGCCAGGGGCGGGGCGACTAAGCCGCCGCGCCGGTCTCTCCCTTCGTGCCTGTCGGGCGGTCCTGGCGCCGCCGCCGCCGCTCGGTGGGGTCTCGACGGGCGAGGCCAGCCGCCGCCGCCGCCACCATCATGAAGGAATGCGAGTACCGGCAGATTCCTCCGGGCACTCCGGCCGCGCCTCCTTCCGCCGAGCCGCCGGTGCCGGCGGCGGCCTCCGCAGCCACCAGCACGACGCTGGCGCACCGTCCCCGCCGCAAGTGGGAGGTCTTCCCCGGGCGCAACCGGTTCTACTGCGGCGGCCGCCTCATGCTCGCCCGCCACAGCGGCGTCTTCCTCCTCACGCTCGGCCTCATCGTGGTCACCAGCGGCCTCTTCTTCGCCTTCGAGTAAGTCGGGGAGCGAGGGAAGGAGCCGGCCCGGGGCCCCGGGGAGACACACCCCCGCCGTAGGCTTGCTTTTATCGATTCACGGAATGTGTGTGCCGCTTTTTAGACGCGGGGATCCCCGAGCGGAGCAGCGGCAGCACCTCCACAGGGTTGTTGATTTGATCGTTATCATTTGTACTGCTACCCAGAATAGTAATGTATGATCTCGGTTAGCTCTGCCATCAGTAATTGCACAGCAAATTCCAAACCAGTAGCTTTAAATTCCCGAAAAGTGTTCGAAGGCAATCTAGCAGGTGTAGCCCTGTGCACCTTTGCTCCACTGAGTTCAATGCAACTTATTCCAGTGAAAGGTTCCAAGACTTGTAGCAAATGTGTTGAGCAAGGCCTTTTTCAGAAGTGAGCCCCACTTTGTTCTGGTTCAGTGGCATTTCCTCTCAGGGAAGTGTGTGTAGGATTGCAGTGCGAAGTTTTGGTGGACTGAAGCCTACTTCACTGGATTAATATTAAGCTCATGAAAGCTTCAGTGCTGCAGTGTATCAGTTCTAGCTTTTTGGGCGCTGTGATATTTTATATTTGTTTGTGCTTGCACATAAAGGCACAGGATTAATACTCAGACAAGGTAATGCAGAATAGGCCTGAGGAAGTAGGAAGGTTCTTTACTGTGAAAGAAAGGAAGGGAATGTATCAAGTATTGAACTCACTGGGAGAGAGAATTCCATACTTAAGGGACCAGCACTGAAAAGGCCCTGTCTCTGTTTATGTTACGGAACTGCACAATTTTTCTGCCTTGCTTACAGGTTTTGCCCTGTGGTAGCTTTGCTTTCACAGAAAGTGCTTTTGCAAGTTCAGGCATCATTTGTTGTTGATTCCACAACCTGTTGCAGTCTTCCATGCTTTATCTCATTCTATTCTGAAGGTGCTCCAACCTGTAGGAGCAGCTTTTAAGTTGGTAAGGTGATGATCAATTAACATTGGGTGCACTGATGTAGAACTCTTTTTTTTTGAGTCAAAGGTACTACTGGTTATAACCCTTTGTTTTAATCCCACCCTTTCTTCGAAGAACTCAGAGCTTTATTCTTGTCGCCATTTTTCTTGTAGCAAGCTTGTAAAGTGGGTTATGCTATGAGAATAGCTGATTGAAGGTCTTCTTATGAGGGTTAAAACTGCAGGGATTAGAATTTGGGTCTCTCATGATCCAGCTCTCTGTTCAGAGTATCAAGCTTTCTGTATGCTTCCTGGACAATAGGACTGCAGTTGTAAGGATGAAGCCAAGTTTAGGTAATTATGATCCATGTTTTGGGAGCAGGGGATGGGGGTGTTGCCTTTGCTTTGTTTGTGGTCTCAGTTCAACTTCATTGTTCAACATCCAAACAGAGGTTAAAATGCTAGAGGATGATATAAGCATTTAGAAGGGATTTGAAAAAAGAAAGAGTCAAGTTATTTTAGACCCTCAAAAATGAGTTAGCAGACATTAAGGTAAAATTGGAACACGTAACGGAAATTGCAAGACAGATAAAAAGAACGGCTTCACATAATGCATAAATTAAGCTGTGGAATTCACTTGCCCACGATGTAGTGTTGGCCAGCAGTTTGGATGGCTGTAAAAGGAGATTGGTTGCATTCAAGGAAGGGAAAGCTATCCATGGCTCCTAGTCCTGATGTCTACGTGGTACCTCAGCATCAGAGGAGTATTTGTCTGTGTATACCTGTTGCTGAGGAAAATGAGCAGGAAGAGGCACTTATGACCTGCTTGGAGTTTCCCAAAGGAAGCTGGTTGGCTGCTGGACAGAATGCTGGACTGGATGGACTTCAGTCTGATCTAATCTAACAAGCTCTTCTTACATTCTTAAACCTAAATTTTGTGTCACAATGTATTAGCAGTATATGAAATTTTAAGAGAATGTTGGATTATGTCTCATATATTTACGATTGCTAGTGTGACTGGAACAGAACACTATTATTGTACTAGGTTCAATTTATAGATTATATTAATTTGTAGATAGGAAAAATTATAGAGTTTGGGGTTATGATCAAATATGGAAATTTCAGAATGAAGCAACTAGTGGTTTATTTTGAGAAGGTAGTCCTAGGTTTAAAGAATTAGATCTATATATCCATCTGTTTTAAGTCTAGGACATTGGTCAAAAAAGACACTTAGAAAAGTTATAGAATTCTTATAATAGGTTAGACACTTACAGCAATTTGCTTTCAAGCTTTTACTTTTTAATTTTATATTAGGAATTGCAGTAGTGATTAACACTACTTGAAAGGAAAAGGTTTCTAGAATTCATAATGGGTGAGGTGACTCACAAAGGAAATCTAAGGGTAGGAAATGGAGAAGATGATGTGACGAGGGAGGAATAGAAACTAGCGGGTGCGGAGACAACATAAGGTACAACAGTGCAAAATAGAATAAATTGTGCGGTAAACAAAAGAAATAATACTGAATGATAAATTGAATGAATGTTTAAATTTAGAATGGGTGGAATGGAGAAACATCTTTGGTTAGATATTTTACAGAACTATTAACAACTGCTAGTTTCTGTTAAGGTTAAATAACAGTATGGATAAGGCAATTCTACCTGATGGTGGTGGGCGAATCTTTTGACAGAACAACTGTCATGTGGGTAGCCCTGCCCTGCCCGGACTGTCCACCTGTCATATCCCCTATTCTGCCAGTGGCTCACCTGCTATTTAAGTCCTCCTAAACTGCTATTTGTTAGCAAGGCCAGAGGACTTCTGGCAGCCCATGTGTTGTCCTAAAGACATACTGATATTAGGCTGCTTCCTGAGGAGTAGGATGAGAATAGGATTTTCCCTAAACATGATATTACAGGAAAACAACATGTTCAACCAATATTAATCAATTTTGCAATACAAGAAATTGGGACAGCATTATTTCTTCTCTGATGGTTCCAAACTAAAGAAGTGGGCATTTATATCAGTTTAGATTTTGATACAGGAAAAATGGGAAGGAATCCATTTTAGCAGCTACAGCTTTAAGGAAGAATGTTATATTTCCTGGTATATATGTCCCCCAGCTCAATGTGAACTGTTTTCTACAAGTTTTTAAATTAAAAATTATTGCAGGATGTTCTGTTGTATCGGAAATTGAATTTTAGTCATGTTTTAATAAGGCTGCATTCTTATGCATACCCTCCTGGGTATAAAAGTAAGGATGTTTAGGTTTACTGTATAAGGAAATTCAAGAAGACAGCAGACTAATTCACTTTGTTTGAAGACAAGGGACAAATACCGTCTGTTATTGGTAAATATTTGGAGATGCTTATAGCTAGCTGAAAGAGGCAGTACATACTTTTCCAACTCTCATGAAATTTAACTAAGGATAGACTTTGTTCAGTTTATTTAATTGACCTCTTATCCCATGGAAAAGAAAGGGAGGTATAAGTAATCATAATTGAACTAATCAACCTGGGAAAATGGCATAATGATATGGGAAATAAAGAAATCTACAAACAATTGGTAGCAACTAAAAAGGTGTTAAAATTGAAAGAGACAGTGTTTTACTATATAGTAAGAACTTTTGTTGAGTTCTGGGATAATCCACATTTATGTTAAAAAACAAAGGGAAGTTATACCAAGGATTAAAAGGAGAAGGGAGGTTCTCCTTTTATGAATTATGAATCATGTAATTCATAATTACAAAATCATGAATTAACATGATTTTGTAATTCACTTACATGCTTCTGATCAATCAAGCAAGTTAAATAGCCTTTTTGTCCTTAGAATGGATTACCCTTCACATTTTATAAACTTAAAAAAATTAGAATCACTAACAGGTATGGATGTATTTTTAGTTCGCAGTAAATTTCTCATTTTATGGAATGGCACAAATATTGTAATCCCTACTGCTGATTTCTTTCTTTCAGATTTCCTCTTACTGCCCCATAACTTTGTTGCACTGTCAATATAATGCCTTGGCAGGTATATCAATTTTAAGACAGGATGAAATCATGTAGAATGCCATCTAGTATGATCAGTAAGGATTCATACAAGGTAGACAAATGATTACATGGTAGGAACATTATTACTATGCTTTGGTGGATGTCAAAAAGGCATGCAATAGAGTTGAATGGGATATTTATTTATTTGTTTGTTTGGAATACTTATATGCTGCCCCATTCGCATAAGCCTCGGGGCGGCTTCCAACAAATAAATATCAATACAAATACATAAAAATTGGAAACATCCTGGCAAATAATATAAAACCAATAAATAATCAGCAATTAATTAAAATAACGTTTAAATGAAAAGTGGCCTGGTGCCAAAAAAAATAATGACGGCGCCAGGCGGACCTCTCTGGGGAGCGCATTCCATAAGTGGGGCACCTCCTCAGAGAAGGCCCTCCTCCGGGTACTCATCCTCCTAAGATCTCTCACGGAGGGTTCCCGGAGGAGGGCCTCTGCTGCCAATCTCAAGGGGCAGGAGGGCAGATACGGACACAGGCGCTCCTTTAGATAACCAGGTCTCAAGCTGTTAAGGGCTTTATAGGGGATAACCAGCAACTTGAATTGGGCCCGGACTTCGATGGAAAGCCAGTGAAGCCGACGGAGGACTGGGGTTATATGAGAACAATGCCCAGTCCCCGTCAGCAGCCTGGCAGCTCTAATTTGCACCATCTGAAGTATCTGGACCATATTCAAGGGCAGCCCCATGTAGAGCGCGTTACAGAAGTCTAATCAGGAAGTAACCAATGCATGTGTCACTGTTGCCAGGCAATCATTCTCCAGGTAGAGACGCAGCTGATGGATCAGCCAAAGCTGTAGGAAAGCGCTCCTCACCACCACTGTCACCTGACAGCACTAAATATGCATTTTATGTAGTTATATATTTGTTTCTGTTGTGAACCACCCCGAGGCTTCGTTGCGATGGGGGCGGCATAAAAATGTTTTAAATAAATAAATAAATAAATTTTTTTTGGACCTAATTTTGTTCAAAATAATACATGGAATAGTTTTCCAGATCTTTCAGTAATTTGAGAAACTAGATAAATATGTTGCTTAGCCCCTAATTTAACTGTTGATTTATTTATTATGTCATTTTTATATCAGCCAGTAGCCAAGGCTCTCTGGGTGGTTAACGAAAGTTTAAAAGTTGCATACACAAAAATTAATTTAAAAGAAGAAAACCATAATACCAGTTCTGCTGATCCAGCATAGAAACACAGCAGCAGTACAGAATAAAATGGAATATATGAAAACAAAGTTAAAAAGGCATTAATATACAAGACTATGAAACCAAAGTAAGTTTGTTTGCAGATGTTACAGGTCTAAGAGTTGTATACCTGTAGGCATCTTTCATTGATCTTTAAAAACATTTGGGATTTTAGCAAAGTGTCCAGTTACAAAATTAATTTTGTAGAAACAGACTGCTTAATTTTCTTCATTGGGAAGGTATTACCCAGATTGAATATTTAATGAACTTTACAGTTAAAAGCAAACACATATATTATTTGGGGATTAGGCTTTCTTTTTACTGCAAAATCCTAAACAGCCTAAATGATGGTAATGAGAAAGCTCACATGAGTTGACTAGGTCTTCAAAATTAAATCTTGTTCAGCTTAGGTAATTTTCAGAGTCCAATATAACAAAAAGCAGCAAGTGAGTCATATATTTAATATTACAGGGAAGATGACAGCTAGGTTAATTTAACATCAATGGGAAGATTTTAAAAAGAGGAAGAGAAGTTCTGGATGTGATAGTTTATTTTCAAGCCATTTTTTTCTATTCAATTTTTAAAAATCCCTGAAGGACATTAGGAAGGAATATACACTTCAGAAACCACACTTTAATAAGTCAGATATGAATGCACTATAATGCGGATAAGAAGAAAGCATCATGCTGCTGCCAATAATGTTGAGGATATGGGAGATATAGGAAAGTATTGTGACTAGGTAAGTCACCAGTCCCCTCTGTGCTTTTTAACCTTGGTTCAGTGAGGATGGCCAGCCTGGATCTTCTTGAAGTTAAATGAAGCAGGGGCTTAGTTATTATAGATATTGGATGCAACATAGAAATGTTAAGTCATGCATAGAGCCTGAGGAGGAAATGAGTGGCATTTGGTTTCCTTTGATGAGAAGAGTGTTTTCCAGTTAGGATGTTTTGTTTTGTTTTTTTTTTTGATAAATGGATTAAATGAGACGGTGATAGCCTTAAACCCACCTAGAACAGATTTTAAAGGCTAAATAAAGTAGATCATTATTGCAGATTTATTTCTACATTATTAAATAATAGGAGAGATAAACAAGTTACATCACAAAATGAAATAAGAGTTCTCTAACCACAATCTTAATATGATTATAGAAAATGTAGATGAAACCAGATAGATACGTACATAATAGCAATGTCTTCAAAAATTATTTCTAACAATGGTTGTAAATGTGGCAAAGAGGAAATTATTGCTAGTGTTCCTGCAGAGTAAACAAACTAGAAAATTTTGAAAACAAATAATTTAGCAGCAGTAAATTGAATTCTAAATGGAAACTACCTCTAGTATTCTTGCTAGTGAATATTAAAGGGTTATAAGGAGACTTTTATATGGTAACGGCAATTGCAATTGCTTACACAAAGTACTGGAAGATGAGTTGGATACTTAGGGATGGTGCATCAAATTATGGGTTATATCAATCTTAAACAAATCAGCTAGAGCTATTGGAGCTAGTCAGAGCTTTTTCTTTAGCTTGCTTGTATTTGAGAAGAAGATTGGAAATGGTTAATAAACCATTTTGTGGCCATAATTCATGATTGATAAATCACAAGAATTGATAATCCTTTTCTGTTTTTATAAGGGGATCCCCCAAAATAAACAGAGTATATTTGTATCTTTAGATATGTTGGGTGCCTTAACATAGGACAGAAAAAAAAGTAGTGAAACAAAATAATACGCCAATCTCTCCATGTCATCAGTGATCTTTTCATAGATTTATATAATGTTTGGCTTTTTTGGTTTACCCTTGTAATGTTTTTGGTATGCTGCTGAGTTATGAAATGATGATCAAGTGGTTGTCCATATGCATTTCTCTCCTTTCAGGTCTGTCTATCACCGAGATATAATTGCATCATATTGCATTGTTATGAATCCCAAGAGAATCTGCAACATAAAAGGTGAAAGGCAAAATGTAAATGTAAAATTAGCCATTAAAATGGATCTTTTAGTCTAACTTGACACTAAAGTGCCTCTTATATTCTTGTGGTATACAGAGTCTCTCCCAAAAAAAAGGAGCCTTGGAAAGTTCAGGAGAGGAAAACTTTCTCGGGTGGTTTTAACTTTGCAGCTGTGGCCCACCTCCATTCTTTGAGATGGTATGCCTGAGCAGTTACGTAACTGCTGGGAAGCTTGAGCAGCTGGCACTCTTACACCCGTCCTGCTTGAGGGATAGTGAGCACTTGGGTTGCCACCATGTGAATGGACTGTGGAACTGGATGGACCAGTGGTCTGATCCAGCATACCTTGTTTGTTTTATGTCCTTATATAAAGCTTTAAATTAATATGTTTGGCGAAGGGGTTTCAAAGTTCAATTTGGATGCCAGGAAGGACAGTTAAGACCCCTAGGGTATGGAGCGAGCTTCTGCGGGAGGTGGTTGAAGCCACATCAGTGTGAATGTTCAAGGATAGGCTGGACATGCACATGGTAGGCATGTCATGAGTGCAGCTGGCTGGAGCCAGGGGTCAGACTAGAGGGCCTGGGAGACCCCCTCTGACTTGCTCTGTTTCTGTGTTTCTCTCCGGCCCCAACCTGTGCTTGGTGGTGGGCCCCAAGGATGCTTTTCCCCTTCCCCCAATTCATTCTTCATTGGCCCTGTGAATGCATCTGTTAATATTTTTGCCATTATTTATTGTGAGGTAACAAGTGAATTGAAGAAATGTAGCTTGCTGCTTCTAGAGCTTTGATATTGCAGTGTTTTTAGGGGCTGTTGTATTTGAAGTGTTTTTATGCCACTCCTCAGTCAAAGTGGCTCCCAAGGTGGCTTGCATGTATTTATTTATTTTATTTATTAAAACATTTCTGTGCCGCCCCTTGCCGAAGCCTCGGGGCGGCTCACAACATAGAATAAAATACACAATAAATTAAAACAATAACAATTAAAATATATACAGTAGAATAAAATAAGTAGTAAGTAAGCAGTTAAACAAGACCATCCCTGCCACAATTTACAAAGGTGCAGCACACACAGAGAATGGTGGGGGGAGAGACTATTCTGGGATGTATAAGTGCCCAGGAAGCCAATTTTAAGAGATACCTTATGAGGGTAAACGATTCCACACCACCCTTCTTCCAGATTTATTGGACTACAGCCCCATCATCCCTAGCCAACATGAGGGGAATGAAGGACATCAGGCTGGTAAAGGTAGGAATGAAAGTTTCTGCAGTATTAAGTATCTGCAGCTGCTTTTAATTCCTAAGAACTGTTATAAATGAATAATTACAAATAGGCGCTCAAATTATCCTTGATATTAATGAGGCTGTTTAGGGTGACAAAAGGGCACTCTTTGCATGCTGAGAGGTGCTATCTTTTCATTATGCAAAGCATAACTGCCCCAGTTCAGATGTGATTTGGAAAGTTCAGGTTCCAGAAGCTGACATCTGAAACTGCTGCAGTCAGTACCATGGCTTAGTGTCAGCATCTTTTTAAAGGTGATTTAAATAAGCAGTAAAACAGGGTTTATGGAAACAAATGACAAATAAAATCAGTAGTGTATGCTGTGTTTTCTTGGATTGTGAGGAACCTGTAGAATGGGTGGAATTCATTGCTGTATGCTTGTCGGTGATGGCCTGGTGGGTGACCTGGGGTGGGGTTGATGCAAAAAACCTCCAGGAAAAACCAACATAAAAGTCATCTTTGGGCTAAACTCTAGTTTGGGCTAAACTCTGTTCTCCTTGCTCATAAGCTGTTTAGTTTAGTTTCAGTTTCTGTTATGCACGTGCAGAGAGAAGATGTTCTGAAGGCAGGTGAATGTGTGCGTGTGTACAGGATTGAGACCACTTCCTAAGGGACAGCTGTCGTGCTGAGACTTCTTGAAACTGCCTCTCTTCCTGCATGTGGTGAGCCATTTAGGATGTACCAGCTTGTGCCTGTTTCACATGGTTTGTCTCCTGTGCCCCTAGGACTGATAGATAGCAGTGCAGGGACAGTTCAGATGAGTCAACTGCCGTACAGGCAGTAGCCTCTGCCTGTGATGTCATGAGAAGCAATTCTTAATGAACTTACTATGTAACATGTATTTACAACCCCATTAGGCTTTTTACACTTTTTAATTGGGGGGGATCCTACATACCAACAATGCATTCTGATTTGTGGGGTATTTCCCCCCAGGAAAGGTGTTAGGTCTCCTATTAAATCCCCAGATAAGGGTCACAACTTGCATTATATGTATGCCTTCTTTGATGGGTGGGCTGCATCTGCCTACTGAGATTAGTGCCTCATGGGTGGGGGAAAGAGTGAGGGAGGATTCGGGGATGAATGTGAAGGGCTTATTGAATGTCCTTCTGTCCTTGCACGAAGAAAAACTCAGGGGACAGCTGTAGCAGATGATACTGGTTTTGATCTGGGATAGCTCCACAACCGAACTTGAGAGATGCATCATATTCCTTTAATCCTCTCATGAGTGGGTATCGGGAAGTATTTGGGCAGCTTCTGTGTATGTGTTAGAGACTGTGTGATTATCAGTGCTTATAATAGTAAAATCCTTTTGCGGCATGGCTTTAAAAGGGGGGGCACACTATTCTGCATTTTCCTTATGTAAACAACTGCACTCCACAGAGCACTGGCCTTATCTAAAGCTTCTGCTTGCGTGTCCCGCTCGGCCTGTCTTTGGCAGTCATTTAATCTTGGATTTTTGCAGTTAGGCCATACGGTTCCGAGCCAGCAGTTTTTGACAGCAAACACCTGCAAGTTCAGTTTAGGAAAGGGAAGTCATAAGCTGATTCTTCACTACTCTAAATCAGTGGGTGAGTTTTCTGTCGGGTATTTAGCCAGTACGTGTGGGGTCACTGGCCTGATTGTGGTGTATGTTTCTCCGTACAGTAGATATGAACCACACCATTGCTGATCCTACATACCACATGCTGCCATCTTCCTGCTTTGTACATGGCTGTCTTGGCTCCCTGTGATCACCATGCAGTTGTTTGCACAAACAGAACCACCTTCAGCCTCAACTTCATGGTCTCAGAAACTTGACTTCGCTTCAGATGACTTTTTAGTGTTGCCTCTTACATTGACACACAGTGTAAGAAGCCACTCACTTTCCCTCTGAATTGAGATGGGGGTGGGAGGGAGGTAGATAAAAATAGATGCAAGTTCAGAAGGAATAAGAAAGCTTGTCTGGGGCTTTGTCTGCCATGTAACTGTTATCTACAGGTGAGGGACCACACAGTCTCCCAGATCAGGGTGGAACTGGGAAGACACATTCCCATTCTGTCCACTTAATGCTATTTAAGCTTGTAGTTCAAAGAAAGCTCCACATTGCCTGCCCTGGCTACAAGGACAGACTAAGGACACTGGATAGCTAGGGTTGTTGTGGGGGTGAGAATAAAGGGGAACTTACTGCTTTTCCAACCCGGATTGTGGAACCCAAAGTTACCTGATAATCTGTGTAAATAAAATATATTTGCTGTGGCGGACAGCTTGGAGATAATTTCATGTTAGCCCTTGAAATAGCCCTGGATCCCTTTAGAGGGAGTGATGAGGAAGAAAATTCAGTTGAAATCAGTAGGGATTATTTCAAGTAAACATAGTATATTAAGCATGGTTATAATATAAAGATTTCTGCAGGGCACAGAGTCTGCTTTGAATTTTGCAACTGTGCAATGTTGCCAGCTTTTCTAGCTAGCTTTAGCAACTGTGCCTTGAATAGTGGCTTAATTTCCGGACTCTAGGAGGTGATGATGTGTATCTCCATACTTTGCAAATTTTGTCTGCTGTTTTGTGCAGACCAAGATGCTGTTAAATACATAGGGGCAGACAAGACTGTCAGGGCTTGTTGCTGTAAAGTGCCTTGGTATCAACTTGTTTCCTGCACTTTCCACAGTTTTGCAGTTGTCTTTCTGCCAGCTGAATCCATCCCTTGCAAATCTGTTCTTTCTCGAAAAGAACAGAACAGAAATAGTCTTAATGTCCCTCACGACACATAACTCACTCCCACTTTCCTGCTAAAGTCAACCACCCACCCCTTTCTCCTTTTAAAAAGAATACCATGGTTACCCTTGACAACACGACCCAGCACATTCAGGTTCTCCACCAGTAAGTACCCTCTCTCTCAGATGTGGTGACATGCCATCGCATCCTGAGTAATGGTTTAAATACCTTTAACACCTCCGGATTCAGAGTTGCTGCTTTTTTATTTAAAATACTCTAGTTTGGGATTGGCTTCCTTACATCAGGCCGACACCTTATGTGATCTGCCTGAACTCTCTGGAGCCTCAGACTGCAGCTTTGAGTAGTTACAATAGTTTATTTTAGCCAAAAGACCGAGTAGGTGGTGGATCCATGACCTCTGGTAACTGAACGCATGACTTCCAACTTAAGCTGTGTAGTGAAAACAGCAGTGGTTCAGCCACAAGAACTGATACTGTGTATTCCAACCAATATATTAACTGTGCTTTCCAGTGCCACATAATGGTTGATCTAGTGTGATCCAGACCAGGCTTGACACTGGCAGGTCTTGCTGCGGCCGTAAGGTAGCCTTTAACAAGTAACTTACTGTCTCCACTCTTCAGTTAAACAGAGCAATAGTGGCATACCTCAAAAGATTGTGCTTGCTAGAAATCAGACAAAAGATATTCATTAAAAGGGGACTGCATCTGTTGTTAGTAAAATGACAAGGGGGGGTCGTAGGTGTAAGAAGAAACCAAATGGGGGTGTGTATCTCAGTAGGTCACCAGTTATATAAGTGGACTGCCTTCAGAAAATGGATTGTGTGACAAGAGAACACCGAGGGAGAAATAGTCTTAACTCCATTTTGTTGATCTCCTTACTGCAGAATTTTAAGGAAAAAATAGATTGTGTGCGATTCCAGAAGAATGGGGAAGGAGTAACCCTGGCAATATATTGTAACTGCAAGCTGTGCTGCAGCTACCCCATTAGGCACCTCCTGCTCTCCATAATGCCCTTTATAACTTTCTCCCTAAAAGTTCTGCAGAACCCTCCATGGCAGAATAAGGGCGTATTGTGCTGGATTCTGTTGGCTACAGGGACCAGTGTGAACATTACAAGAAAGTAGCTCCTGAATAAAGTGTCTAGGCGGTGAATGGAAGCCATACTTAAAAGTGCATGTTTTCTTTTCAGCTGTCCCTTCTTGGCTCGTAACCTGACCTTGGCCATTCCTGTTATTGCTGGCATCCTGTTCTTTTTTGTCATCAGCTCTTTGCTACAGACCAGCTTCAGAGATCCTGGTATCCTGCCCAGAGCCACCCCCAGTGAAGCTGCAGACCTGGAGAAATGGATTGGTGAGACCTTTCGTTGTACTTTTACTTGTGGTGCAATGTTCAGTGGCACGACTTGTCATGGTATCCAGCATTCTCATTTAGGTACCTTTACTTCCTGAGATGGGGCGGCCCTAGAGAAGGAGTCAGAATTTTTGCCAGAGCTTAATTGGTACCAGATTTGGCCATACCTGATCCCTTAGGCCTGGCATGGTGAACTTTCTTCTGTTGAGCCTCATTCCTTTGATGGTAATCTGTTGGGGACTCCATGCTTGTGGTAGATGGGGCCACCCCCCTTTTCTCTCCCCTCTTTTTCCCCACAGAGCAAGGTGCGGCAGGAGAGGTAAATTACTCTTGCCAGAAATCAAGACCAATCACTTGCAGTGAGCTTGCCTCCCTCTTTTCATTGCTCTGTCCATTTTGGCTCCTGGCCTCTTCCTTTCTCTCTGGCCTTGCCCACTCACAAGAAATTAGGCTGAGGGCTGCATAAAGTCATGGCCTTAAGTCATCTCAGGTGGAAATCCACGATGAGAGTGAGCAACAGGTCCATCATCTTTTCTGGTGCCACTTTTGCTGGCTTCTCTTATATCCTCTGGTTTCGGGTACAAAACACACATTAGAGCAGAAGAGGAAGGCCAGAAGAAATCATTGGCCCAATCCTTTTCTTGATCCCAAATCTTAATCTCTTTGTGAAAGTAATGTTAGTTTGATGCAGGAAGCATAGTAGAAAGTGTGATAGTCACCTTTTCAGAGTCATGGTTTGAGGCCCAGGGGAATGATTGAAAAAGGAAGTAAAAATGAAAGGATGAGGAATGAAATAGATAGGACAAAACTCAACTCTGCAGGTGCATTTTGAAGTTGAGATACTGATTGCAGTCTGTACAATATGCTAGAAATAAGTTGCATATTATTGCTATTCTGGTTCAATGGCACTGCTTTCCTGTTTGCTTCCAGCCAGTTCAAAATTGTGAGGTTAACCTTTATTAGTCTGGTGCTTGTCTACCTGTGGGAACCTCCAGATGTGCTGTCCCATTCCCTCAGAACTGCTTGGGAAGCACGTTAATGTAGTGATTTTTAAATGTACTGTAGTTAATAGCCAAGTAACCTAGATTTACTTCTGGCTTTGTTATTATGCTCTATGGTTTCTGGTTGTGTGTTTGATGTGTTAATTTGGGTTAATTCAATTTTCTGTATATAAGTTTAGCCTGTAATACACTTGGAATGCTGTGTTCAGCAGAAAATACAGCTGAGTAGTGCTTAGAGAAATCAAATCTTCCTTGGTAAAAATGGCTGTGCAACAGAATTCAGGAAGAAAATGCCTGGAGGCTGGGTTTTGTTGCTTCTCCCATTTAGTTAGCTTGAGCTTTATAGCTGGATGCTAGCTAGCTGGATGTTAGCTAGGTCTGCTTGGAGATAGTGCATAGGGAAGAAAGTGTGTACTTTTATGTATTGAGATAACTCAGCTTATCATTTTGTCTAACAGCAATTCTATATGGAGAGCATGTAAAACAGAGATAGCAGAAACATGGCCTTGGCGACCCTATTGGATTATTTGAAAATTGTCCTCTTACTTCAGTCCTGCTGGGCAGCCAATGGGTTCTGTACAGTAGTCCCAGTGTATGTCTGATAGGCTGTCTGGATTAATTGAGGCATAATTAAATGATCCTTAGTATGCACTGTTGCCAATGGTCACAGGTTTTTTGGCTGCAAACGTTCCTACTTCCAGCTTGGCTGTTGTTCAGAGCAGTGGTGGCAAAGGAAACCAGTGGCTTCAGGTAAAGGAGATGGAAGGTGTCTTCAGCCACTCCTTGGCTGACTCTGCCATGACTAAAGAGCCACCCTTACCTTTCCTGTAGGAAAGTAAGACAGAGAGTGAATTAGGATTGGCTCCTGCACAGAAGAAGGGCTTCTCCAAAGAGTAGCAACCAAGGAACCCTTTGTTGTTGTTGTTAGCCACGAAGCTGTGCCCGACCCGTCACAACCCCATGGACGACATTCTTCCAGGCTCTCCTGTCCTCCACCATCCCTCAGAGTCCACCCAAGCTCACATCCACTGCCCCAGCTTTCCCTTTTCTGCTGAATGGGGTGCGGGGAGCTTGCTAGTTTGGCCCCAGTTTATCAAGTTGCTTTGAACAACACTCCCATACCCAACAGCTCCAAGCCCTTCCCACAACTTTGGAGCTGGGAATGAGTGAGAATTGCCATAGAGTTGCTGAAATGATCCTTGCCTACCTTTGCAGCCTCAGAGATAGGAATCATTTGTCACACTTGCAGTGAAAGTGGGGGGGGGGGAGATGTCTTAAAATGTTGAGCCTTGACTCTTAGGTAAAGAGAGAAGAACTGACCTTGATGGATCAGACCGCAGCCTACCTGATTCAGTGTACTTTGCAAGAATTTCAGCAGCTGTAACAGTCACTGGATGATCCACCAGAAATTGATCCATAATCCATCCCAAACTTCAAAAAAAGTCGACACTTCTGAATTGGATTGTTTGTTTGAAACGTATTTCATTCCTTCTTTCCTGTAATTCAGCATGTCTGTTCAAGTTTAGACAGGAGTAATATTTCTTTACTTGCAAAGAAGTGCTGCAAAAAAAGTTTGTTTCGTACTTATGCATAGTACAGGCAGTATGCAATAATCTCAAAGAGATCAGTGTGTGATGTGTTATGGGTCCTACTTTTGGGCAGAAGACTCAGCAGGAAGATTGCCAGATATTATCCAGTCCATTGACTTAATCTAGGATTATCTAATATATGGATATTCTTTCCTTCACAGACAATCTGGGTACCTCCACTTATCGGCCACCTGCTCGCACCATGGAAGTAGTTATAAACAAATACATGGTGAAGTTGAAATACTGCTATACATGCAAAATGTTCCGTCCTCCCAGGACTTCCCATTGCAGTGTCTGTGACAACTGTGTAGGTAAGTTCAGACTGAGGCATCCTACAGGCAAGCAGAGTTGTGATTTCAGCTGTTAGTGCAGCTTTCTGCTTTCACTGAAGCAAAGATTTCCAGACTGCAGACAGTGTTGTGCCTCTAGATATAGGGTATATAAACAACACTCAAACCTTTCAGAGTTCTCCAGATTTTGTCTTGACATCATCTTTGTTTTTTGCTTTATGCATGAAAATGTGTATATTTCAATGTACATTTTTCCAAACGGATGCATCAACTCTGGACATGTTTGAAATGAATGCATTCATCAAACATCGATCAAAGCTGTTGTGTGCATTTTTCAAAAGTACATATATTTGTGCATATATTTTTTAAACGTACACATGCCATCAAGCAGAAATGTTGCATGACATGCATAATACTTGATTATTGGTTATGCTGATTGGGACATGTGGGAACTATAGTCCAAAATAGCTTAGAGACTTTGTGAGTTAAGAGGGCTTGGGGAGGGCTTTTAATTGGCTAATGAGTAAGGGCTTCATTATCATGAGCAGACTGTATTTGTGCCTGTCATATAGTTCTCCCTTGTATTTGTTGCCCACTTTTCCCAAATACCATTCCCTTTTTGCCACCCCAGTAATTACAAATTCCACCATTTCAAGTTGGAACGCCTCAGTATTGGAATAACAAAAAATATTGTCCTCCATTGAGTTTGCTACAACAGGCTAACTTGGAGTCAGAGTATATGATACAAAACACATATGGAGGTTCTTAATATACATGAGCCTTGTTTCTTTAAGGTAAACTGCCATGATGCAGGTAACTCATGCATCATGTTTCTTCTTTTTTGTTGCTAAACCAAAAATGCATTCATTTTGGAAGCTGATGCAGAATTTGTTGATGTAGATTTGTGACTGACAAATTGCTCTGACTGGGGAGGATCACCCTGGGCAAATGGGGGAATGTTTGCCTGTGTGGGAGACGCAGCTGAGTTCTTAGGCATGCTGGGATCTGCCAGACGTCTGTAGATATAGATGGGTAACTGGCAAAGGTTGAGGGTGATGAAAAATTGCTGATCATTTAAGACAGGCAAGTAACAAAAATGTTTCCACTTTAAAGGAAGTTTTAGCCCAAGATCCATTCCTGAGGTATTGGTAATAGTGAGGTTTTCCTGTAGTGTGTACTAGTTGAGAATGAATGTTAAAAGGCGTATCGAGACGTGAACAAAAGTGTTGGACACACCTAAACCTCCAGTTCTTGCCAGGATGTTTAACGCTTCAGGGTAAAGGAAAGTCTGGGTAAGACATCAGCTTTTTCCAGTAGATTCCTGGATGTTTGAGGTGTACAGTTTCTCCCTCTCCCAGATTGTCTGCCTAATGAGCCAAACTTGAAAAATCCAGTTTGCACACAGCTAACTTCTTTAAGCCAATTACATGTATAATTGTGCAGGTTGTAGAGAATAGAGAGCAAAGCCAATTACTGACCAAAGAACTGACTCAGATGAAAGGAAAAATATAGTGTTAGGTGAAGTTAGTATCCCAAAACAGCCATATTCTGGGGAGAGCAGAGGAGAGCCAGCAGCCTCCCAAGGTATTTAATAGGAGCAGGAACCCGCATAAGCCTCAGCTATCCAACACACTGTTATATAAGATTGAAATTGGAGAAGACAGTATCTTGGTAGAGGAGAAGGTAGGACCAAGGGCCATATGCACCATGTAAGTAGACTCTTTCGTGTGCAAGACGGGTGGCTAATCCTTGCACTGGGCATCTTCTCATATGCCTATGATTGTGCTGCAGAACAAGGAATAAAGTGTATAAATGACTGGCTGTAACATGAGAGTAAATTCCTAGACTTAGTGGTGTGAAAGTAAATAAGAGCAATTTCTCAACTAATGGCTTAGAAAATGAATGTGGCTTCCTCTGTTCTTTGCAAATGCTTGTCCTTCATTCCACAATGCTTAAGGCATTCTGCCATACAAATTGGACTTAATTGTTCTCTTCGTTTCTCCCCAAATTCTGGCAGATGTGATTCTGCTGGAGGTGGGGGAATGTTTGGAGTTTCTAATAGCTTCAGCACTCTCAGAAAATTCTTATTCTCCAGGATTTGAGGTGGGTGGGATTTGACACTTTACCTGCTTCAAAACATGAGTTAATTCGAAGTGCAAATATGTGTCTGTCTTCCAGTGTCCATGGATCACCTTATTTTTCACTGTCCCAAGCCCCAAAAACAGCAAGAGTAAGAACAGGCAAGATTGTTTAGAGTATGAACTGATTTTATTTACATGCTGTATCCAATTGCTACATGAATTTGGCAGGTGAACATGGGGTGAGCTAGGTGAAGAAACATGCTGCACCCAAGGTCATGGCATAGGGAGCTAGTGGCTGAGAAAAGGTCTGAATTCTGCCGTCCAAGAATTTTCCAGAGCTAAACAGCTGCTATGGTTTTTATTTTTTTACTCACAGCACTCCAAGGGGAGTTGAACTAAATGTAAAGAAGCCGTTTGCAATCTATTGTTGCACAAATGAACAACAGTATGGAAGTGAAACAAATGAACCTATTCTAGGCTTTTTACTCTAACCATGAGTTAGAATTGTCATCTAAACCAGTCTCTGGTATATTCTGAATTTTTTCAGTAAAATAAGCCCACTTCACAATTCTTATCTGCTATGATCAGAAAGTGAAGAAAAGCTATACCAGAGGGACCTGTTACTTACAATTTATTTTATTTATTATATGCATATACTGCGCAGTAGCCATAGCACTTGAGCCGTTCACAAAAATTAAAACTTAAAATTCAGCTATCTTAATGTTGTCACCTTGTTGCCTTCCACCCCAGAACGGTTTGATCACCACTGCCCCTGGGTGGGCAACTGCGTGGGGAAGCGGAACTATCGCTACTTCTATGCCTTCATCCTCTCGCTCTCCTTCCTGACAGCCTTCATCTTTGCTTGTGTCATCACACATCTTGCCCTGCGTAAGTACACTTTTTGGTAAGGCACTTGTTATGTGAGAAGGCCTCTGTCTGTGTCTGGAGGCATCTGGGCAAGCACATTCCAAAACCAGGGTGCCTTTCCAAGCCATAGGATACCATTTCTCTCAGGCAAGTGAGGGAAGGCAGAGTATCTCTGAAGTTTTTTAAGGCTGGGCCAAAGAGTGGCCTTAACAGAAATAATGGCATATATGCATGTTAGTAAATGAAACCTAGCAAACCTTTCCAGTATTATTCAAAATGCCTCGCTGCTTCTGTTTTCTTGAGTGTTGGGTAACCACTCAGTTCCTCGTGACATGTGACCTATTGCATGTTTGTCTGGTTAGAAGTAGAAAATATTTCTCTTCAGCTCAGTGCCTCTTTTTCTTTGCTTTGCAGGCTCCCAGGGAAACGATTTCCTTGCTGTTTTGAAAGCAACACCAGCAAGATATCCTTTCAGTAACTGTTGTCCTTTCCCTGCTCTGCTCAGAGGGGACTGAAAAAGGGGCTAGTTTAGCATTATGGAGGTGCTCTCTAAACACCCATAGTAAGGAATTGTCAGAGTGTCATGACCGTTTAATGCAGGGGAAGCGGAAGACTGTCCCATGGGCCCTGTGACTTAGCGGGTGAAGAATCCTTTGCTTTGAGCCAAAGACTTCATTCATGATTGGTTTCCCCTATGTGAAAGTGTCCACCTGATTGAGCATAATGTCTAGGATCTATTTGGGCCACATAGCCCAATGACTTCAACCTTGTCTACCATGAAAAAATGGTTCTTGGCAGCCCACAAAAGAGCGGCCACCTCCAGCTCTGATGTCTGGCATCCTTTAATTGAGGCTTTCCTGGTTCCAGGCTTCATATATTTTTGGAACCAGACAAAGGCTTCTGCATTGAAGTGCTGAACAGGGAGTGGTGTGCTGGGTGTTAGGCATCTCAGGCCCTCCTTCCCGATTCCCTGTCCTGCACCATCAGCAGGAGTATGGGGCAGGGAAGAGGGCGGAAACTGCCCCAAGTGCCCCCTTGGGGCAGCTGTTATCCTGCTCCATTCAGTGCCCCAGTATGTCAGAGTACTCAGGGGAGGAGATGGTTCCTGAGGCCCCCTGATGTGTCCAGCTGCTGGTCAGGTGCACTGGGCACCCTCAGCATCGTTAAGCTCAAGTTGCATGGACCTGCCCATTGCCTCTTTCATATCGGTTTATCTGAACTGGCTAATTGTGGGAGGTGGGACACATGTTAGTTAGTTAGTTAGTTAGTTAGTTAGTTAGTTAGTTAGTTAGTTAGTTATATATCCTGCCTTTTTCCTACAAAGGGCTCAAGGCAGCCTACATCATTCTCCTCCTCCATCTTTTCCCCACAACAACAACCCTGTGAGGTAGGTTGGGCTGAGCCACCTAGTTGGCTCCATGGCTGAGCGGGGACTAGAACCCAGATCGTCTGAGTCCCAGTCCCATGCTCTTAGCCACTACACCACACTGGCTCTCCAGTAACTGGCTCTCCAGGTAATGCCTCTTCTAGGCGTATGTTTTGACAAAGCCCAATTGCTGAAGGTGGCTCTGGTAGTTTGAGGAATGGTAAAGTGAGAGACAGGATCTTCTCTTTTTGGAAATTGGAGGAGAGCAGGCTCTCCCAACCACACGTGTTGATCCTTCCTTGATTCTTCATTCACTGTTTTAGAGTTGGTGATCTGCTTTTTCTCAGTCTGGTCTATTTTTGGCCTCTCAGGGTTTCACACTTACTTAGTTGCCTCCAACTTGACGACCAATGAGGATGTGAGTATGAATATTTACATCTCCTTTGAATGAATGGAAGCTGGAAAGTCCTAGTAATGTTTATTAGGGCTTTAAACCAGTTTCTTATGGATGGTGCCCCAAATAATTTTTTTTGCAGCTGTGTGATGCTTGGGTCAAAACATTCCTAAGCTCAGAAAGCTACTCCCCAGAGAGGTGTGCCTGGTGCTGACGTTTTATTCATTTCAGTGCCAGGCCAAAACCTTTTTATTTTCCCCGTATTTTAAGAATTAATTGTTTTTTTAATATTGGTTTTATTAGGCATGTATATTCTATTTTGTATGCTGTCACTACTGTTTTGTACACTGAGCTGAGACTTTTGTATAGAACAGGATAAAAATGCTCCAAATAAATAAATAAATAAGATTCCGCTATATGGAACACATTTTCTTTTGTAAAAGAACTTTCTGTACCTTTGTAGTGCCTAGATGCATCCTGTCTGTAAGAACCTGACCATAGTTGATCCCTTCTTGCCAATGTGTTCTATGATCAAGCAGTCACACATGCAATGACATCTTAATCAGTTAATTATATGCCTTTCATTTAAGTGTTTGCACATGTTTGTTTTTGAGTAAGCAGTCATTGGGAAGAAAAAAGCCCTCTTTTTTAAAAAAAACTCTAAAACCTAGATGATTTCTGCTCATGTTGCCTCAGGGCCTCCTTAGAAGCCATTCTGTCCCTTCGAAGGTGTCACTTGAGATCCACCACTTTTGTTAAACATATGTTCCAGAAATAATTGTAACTGAAAAATCTTGTGCCTGATGAATCAGGACATTTTAATGAGGCACTGGAAAATAATCCCAGCTATCCAACAAAGGATTCTTGTTGTCTCTTACCTCTTGGCCTTTCATAACCAGTTCATCTCCTTTGCGTTGTAGCTGAAAGGGGCATGGTCAAATAAGAGAGGCTCTGAATTTGCCAATCCCTACAGCCATAAAAGTGTCCTCACCAACTGCTGTGCAGTGCTCTGTGGACCATTCTATCCCAGGTAAGGACACTCAGTCTAGAGCTTACTCCGCACCTGGATGCTTAATTTATTTTATGTATTTATTAGATTTATATCCTGCCTTTTTATTCTTTAAAGAACTCAGAGCAGTTTGTATCATGCTCCTCCTCCTGTTATCATTCTTATCCCCAGAACAACTACTCTGTGAGGTAGGTTGGGTTGAAAGTATGTGACTGGCTCAAGGTCACCCAGTTAGCTGCATGGCTCAGCTGGAACTAGATCCCTGATCACCTGAGTCCCAGTCCACGCTGGCTCTCAAATCTGAAGATCAGGTGATGACAGAGACTGGTTGGCAGCTAGTTTGAGCACTAAACTGTTGGAAGATCCTTTCTTGAGAGAACATGTGTTTGGGACAGCAGTGACAGAGCAACAAAACAAACAGAAACCCGGAAGCTCGCTTCTGCTTGTGAGTTGTGGGACTGAGAGAGGTGCCCTTCAAATTGTGCTGCTGTTCATTCAGGGAGAGAGAAAGTGGGGAGCAGCCAGGGCGGCAGGGACAGGCGGGTGGCCCCCCATCCTGACGGAGAGGAAGTCGCACCTGTGTTCTCAGACAGGTGCTAGCTGTGGGATGGGCCTGTAGCTCGCAGAGACAATGGCTGCTGCTGTGCTGCCATCTGAGAGTTGCTGACAAAGTTCAGAAACAAAAACATGGACCTGAAAAGATGGAAGCAGTGGGAAGAATCCGTGGGGCAGGCAGGGCAGCTGAGCTACTATGAAAAAAGTAAAACTGAAAATGAAAAACCAAAAGACGCAGAGCTGACCCAATAAGTTTTTATGCCTGAGGCAATCTAATCCTTTCTTCCCATCACTAAAATATTTACTTACTTACTTACTTACTTACTTACTTACTTATTACTTACTTATTTACACTTTTATAGACCTTCACAGTAGCCACATGGCTCTCCGGATGGTTTACACAATTACAAAATGCAGTTTCCCGCCTTATAATGGCACAGGCAGTCTACCTCCTGAGGCAGCCACCTTGTTCGGCCTACTGGTAGGCCCAGCCTTGGAAATATGTCAGACTTAACTGCCTGAACATGGAGTTTCTATTTCTTCATTTGAAGTAGTTCTGCCCTACTCCTCAGACAAAAAGGCTTCCAAAGCAGCTCACATACACCCAGTGAAAACAAGACAGTCCCTACCTGCAGACATGACACTAAGGGAAAAAAGGATGAGGAAGAAAAAGGGAGCAGAAAAGCGAACTCGGGGCTGTATCCAGTGCAATATAAATTGTCTAGTATAAATTACATTGTACTAATGTAAGTGCCCTGTAGTGCAGTGGCTGTAGCATTTGCTGGAACACTGGATTTCTACATAGAACCCATCACACCAGCAAACACTGTGGACGTTGTGCTAGAGGTTGTTGATATTCGCACGTCACCATTTATATTAGTGGATGGCATTGCATTGGATATTGCCCTCAGGTACCATCTCTTCAGGTTAAGCATTGTTATTGATGTTACGTGCCATCAGATCTTATCTAGCTTAAGGTGACCCTATGAATGGATGCCCTTCAAAATAGCCTGTCCTTGACAGCCTCGGTTAGCGCTTGCAAACTCGAGACTGTGGCTTCCTTTCTTACAGTAAGTCTGGCAGAACTGGTCCTGTAGAGCCGATAGAATAGACCCACATTCCCTTTCCCTCTGCTGAAGCCTCTTGATCTGAAGTGCTAATGCTGTTATGGGCATTGGACAATTGGCTACTGCAAATTCATCCTAATCAATGTCTAGTGAGCATAGAGTTCTCCTGTATTTACAGATGCAGCTTTAAACAACCTGGCACCTTGCTGCTATCAGGAGCTTTCTTCAGGTGTCACAAGGGGGCAGAGTTGGACAGAATGAAGGAAGGTTCTAATGCTTGTGTGTGGCATTTAGCTGACTCATGAATGAGGATCCATGAATACTTACAAGAGAATTCAGCATTAGAGTCATCTATGTAAATTTTTTGAAGGATCCTTTGAGTGGGATCTTATGCTTCTATTAGGTCCTACTTTTGATGTTTTCTTCAAAACAAATTATAGAGCTCCACACAGTCTGTAATTTTTCTGTACTGACATAACCCCCCACATGCACACACACACACGGTTTTATGAATGCCAAAAAGAGGCCCTAGTCTTGGATTCGGACTGTCTCCTGAGAACCTAAAAGTGTCTTTGATACTGTAGGTGCTTCACCCCTGACAAAGTGAAAATGGGAGCTCAGCCTGTGCTGAATGAGGAATTTCCAGAACATGACAAAGCATAGCACTTACGCTGAAGCAGCCTGTGGTTGAACTGCTAGATTATGAGTGAAGAATTATTGCAGCTCAGTTTTTTTAAGCAGTGAAAACTCTGTTTCTTATGCCATTGTAATTGTGGATTCTACAGTTCATGTCTTAAATTTGACAACTCAAGATGATTCCATCTCTAAGACTGCTGCTGCTGCTATGGGCCATCAGGGCAAGCTCTCCAAAACGTCTTATCCATGGCAGTCCCCCTTAACTGTTCTAAGCTTATTCTATAGTGGGGAATAAAGTACGGCCTTCTGCCAGGTATGCGGCCCATACAAAACTTTAGTATCCAGTTGCAATTTAAGCATTATTGCATTAGACAGAACTCCATACCATCTAAACCAAGGGGAAGAGGCAGCTGAACTGTGTTTAGTGGGTGAGAGAGTCTTGTGAGGGGCTGAAGTAATTTATTCAAGCATAACACCATTTTTTGCTTGCTTTGAGGAATGCTGTGACCACTTGATACTTCTGGTCTGCTTGATGTTGAAATGATAACTACAGATTTTGGTTTATGAAGTTTCATGTATGTTTCTATCCCATAGGGTCCTGTACTCCTGATTCACAACTCCGGGGTAACTGCTGGTACTCCTGGTATCCCTGGTTTTATGTTTGTGACCTATGACTGAAACTTCTGCCTCCTCCATGGAAAAGAGAGATTGTTGCTGACTGTTTGATTTACAGATTGCCAGTCCTAACTGCTTTGCTTGTTTTTCTTTCTCCTCCTTCCTAGTTTAATAGACAGAAGAGGATTTATCCAGGCAGATGCTGGGACCCCATCCACTCCTAAGAGTGAAATCCCTTCCTTTGGAACGAAATCTGATGCCAGCATGGTATGAGCCAACCCTTAACAGTGCTGACACTTAGCCCTGTGCCTGTGCCTACGTCCAGCCGATTCCTCTCTTCCGTTTACTGTTGCTGGAGCTCAGGCAGGACAACCTTGCACGGCAGAGCCTCCAGAGTCCCTATTCAAACCATATGCCATCATTTCTGGTGTTGATTTTTATTTGGTTTGATTTTTATGCAGTGGGACTTATCTGAACATTATGGACTGCTGCAGTTCAGCCTCTAAGTGGGCCCTGCTGCTTAGTGCCAAGAATGCCACTGGTTGGGAGATCCCAGCTTCTTGAGAAGCATCGCTTCTTGGAGGGTCTGCAGCAGGGATTGGTTGAAAAGAGCATAGTAATTTGCTTGTGGTGCTGGTATGGAGAAGGGTTTGTGGGAACAAAGGTGTCCCCTCCCTCAGCTGCATGCCTGAGTATTTTAAAACTTTAAAACTTCACACCTGGTGAAGGTGATCACCTTTGATGTTAGTTTTCCCTTCATGCCACTTTGCATGAGTACCACAAAGGATAACCAGTGGTTGCAGGCTGCAAGGCAGAGGGCACAGCGCTCCTTGCCTGAGCAGTAGCTGTGGCTTGCTAAGTTGGTTTGCCCGGGAAGACTCTCCCGTTGCCACTGGTGGCTGTGAGAGGGATGCATAGGGAAGCAGATCTCTAGGAGGGATCACATGCCAATCTATTGGATCACTGACCGAAAATGGCTCCTCATGCTGGGAACAGACCCAGAGTTGTCCTTTGTTCCAGCTGAATCAGAACTTCAACAGGCTGATCATAGCCCAGGGAGGTTTTTGGTTTAAAACGGATAAGAAAATTATGCAAACCCATTTGAATTTCTTAAATGATGTCAGTAGAATTAGAGTATAGTCACCTGGTGTGTACAGGTAACAGAGCTATTCTTGAACATCTGCACATAGGAGACACAGGAGGCTGTGTTCAGAAGGGATCCAGAGAGAAAGCTTCCTGCATTGTTCAAAGCCAAATTGATTTTTCTGTAGGAGGTTGAGTCCATTCCCTTGGATTGTTGACCAATCACACAAAAGGAAAGGATCATAATTCTTCCTATTACACATCCTCCTACAGTGCCTCCTATCCCATTGTATGAACACTTAAGGTAAATAGGAAAGCTGAATACATGTTAAATACTTGAAGTACATTTATTAAAAGCTACTGGGTAGTTTTGCACACTTTTTGTAAATTTTTCTAAGGGGTTTTTAAAGTGGTTTTGCTGTACATAAACCAGGTTTCGCAGGTTCTTAGAACCAGGCTAGATTTTTTTACAGCATTGGAATTGTGTATCAAGTAAGTATGTACAAAAAGTTATGTAAGCCCTTATTCCCTGGACTTTACCAGTTCATAGGAAAAATAGGGACATAAGCAGGAGATACAGCAGGATATTGAGTCTCCAAGGAATGAAGCAAGTATGTGAGTTTGCCTTTCTCTACCCTGCTTCTGCAGAGGCACAGGAAAGTTTAAACATTACAGGGTTTTAATAACTGGAATTGTTGAGGTCATATCTCAGGAATTTGCCCTAAAAAACTGTAAGTTAGGGATCCGAGAAAGAACGAGACAGATCTTTCCTTCAGCTCATCATGGTGCGACATCCATCGGTGGTTTTGAGTAGCACCACCTCTTTCTGCAGAATGTTTTGAAGAAACATCAGTTGCAACAGGCACCACCAGTAGAGAGATTTTTAAGCCTGGTCCGAGATGAGCCTCGTTAAACTGAATTATCGCCACTCCTTTGTCGTTTGTGTGTACATTTTGGGGTAAAGAAGGCAATTTGCATTGTCAGTCTCTCACACTTTCTCAGCTGACCTGTGGTTTTTCCATTCTAAGAGTGTGTTAATAGAGCAAGCATTTCCGAACTCTCTTTGTAGCTGTACTGAGTCAGAGCACCTGTCTATGCCTGTTTGATTTTGTTTTTTAATATGACCAGCATATGTTGGCTGCAAAATCCATTTGTCTGACAAATCAGAGTTACTAGAGGAATGGACAAGTGTGCGTCATCGAACAAGCCCTTCTAGAATTTGAGTCAATCCATGCTAAGATATTCTAATGGGGGCCAAAAACTTCTAAGGATACAGCAGCTTCCAGCTATCAAGTGTGGCTAGAATGCATGGTCCTCAGGCAGTTGTACTGCCATCTGATTGGATGAAGTTGTCTTATTCACAGCGCACATTTGAAGGTTTTGGTAACTGGTGCCTCTTAGAGAGCTTCTCCATGTTCCCCCCTACTGTAGAAAGTACTGCTCGTGTAAGATTTTCTTATCCTGCTAAAAATAGGACCCCTAAGGCATAGCTCTCTTTGTATCCCCTGAGACACTGCTATGAAGGCCGCTCCAAGCAATATGCTGGCCGATGCCCAGGTGTTTGTATTCTGTGCCGTTGAGGGATGTGCCACACACAAGGGCGTGATGCCGGCATTCCCTTGATGATAACAGGCTTGCGCCTTGGTGTGTAGCTTGTTGAGGCTGCGGCGCCCTGAAAGATCCCTGGAGCCAATGATAAGAGCATTGCTCATGTTTTCTGCGCTCTGCCTGCACCTTCTGAGCTGTGGCTGTTCATCGTCCAACCACAGTGGCCATCTCATCGGTGGCGGTGCATTTCCAAAGGTAGCCTTGCCAGCAAAACCATGTTGCCTGCATGCTCGACCAGTGAGGCCCAAATGACTCTGGCATTCAGTCTGAAAGGATGGCCGCTTTACTTTCATCGGTGGGTAGTCATACTTTGGAAGCACACTCCTTTTTCCCCCTGTACAACTTCTCAGGCACATAGTCGGAAGGGAAGGAGAGTGGTTCCTGGCTTACATAAATTAGGTACAGCACTGAAATCCATTTTAGATCATTCCTTTATCACCAGAGGGGTACCGGGGAAGGAAGTTTTTCTTGTTGAGGAGAATTCCAGGCCCTCCTTCCACACACCATCATGTCCACAAAGCAAGGACTGCAGCAGTGTTAATGTTTGTATGCGGAAACTCCTTGTGGTGATGAAGCCAGTTCCCTTTGTTACTTACTTTTGTAATAAAACATAATACTTTTAAAAGAATTAAATGGTTTGGGCTTTGTGTTTTGCATTTCCTTCTGCTAGATTAAAACAGTACCTCTTTGGTTACTTTCTGTGGCAAGAAGCTGAGCTTGGCCAATTCACTGGGGGAGTGCCTGCCAGCTCAGCCTGTTGCCTAAATGACAGCTCTGGAACCGCGCAGGCTTGGAGCCGCTGCTGGCCTTCTCCCTGTGGTTGGGGGTGCGCCTGGGCTGGGGCTGGGGAATCTACGCTATAGTCTGCAGCATGCAGTTTCAGAGTAGCCAAAGCTCAAGCTGGCCTCTCCCCGTCGCAGTGCATTCCACTGCCGATGGGCAGCGCTCCTGCTCTTACCTCCCCACCCCCTTCTGCTTCCCCAAACCTGAGACTGCCTGGTGCATAATCTCTGGTGTCTTCTTCAGGAGGATGCTTGCCAGGACTTTGCCATATCTTGCACTGCCTGATGGGATAGCCCCTCCCCACAGGATGGGTTAGTACTGCTCTCTGAAGGTTAGCTGGTAAGAATTGATTTTTTTTCTCGCCCCCATCCAGTGAATCATGTCATTCTCGCTGCATGAGCTGCTTCAAGCCTGGATTCCATCTTCCCCTCCGGTCTGTGTAGCTGTTGTTGTGTGCCTACAAACCATTCCACCAGTAGCTTCAGCCATGAGAAGGGCTGTGATGCCCACAGTAGCCAGGTTAGCTGCAGGCTTCAGGGACAGGCGTGGAGGTTTTTGAGCAAAGGAAATGCTCACAATGCCTTGCACTGTCACATCCCAGATAGATAGCAAGACCAGGGGTGCAAAAGCGACTGTGTGAGACATGCAGGGCATTCACCCAGACGCTGTTTTCAGTGTGGCGGGAACATCAGGGTGAGTTGGGTGATGTCCTGACCTGCCCCCGTGTGTTTTGGGGCTGCTAAGCAGGGGCTTCACAGTCCTGGGGTAGGCATCTGTCCACTTGCTCCGTGATCGCTTGGAGAACTGAAAAATGAGAGCACTTGATGAAAATGACCTCCTGAGGACCTGTGGTTACCCTGAAAAATAGGGGAGAGGACCGAAGTCTCTAGGTAATCTTTTAGCTGTGCAAACTGAGCTGCTAACCACAGGCGGAACAGCAGCTGTGCAAAACGAGAGGTCTAAGCACCCTATGTTGGCCACTGAAGAGGTGATTTCTGAAACCTGACAGCATGAGGCTGTCGTGCTCTGAGGACAGCGAACAGTGATGGGCACAGTTGTATCCCGGGGCCAACTGCTTGCTCCTGGTTTGTAGCAGAGGGACTCTGCTTTGCATGACTGGTAGGTTGTGGTGTAGAACAAGGTGGTAGGTATCAGCCCTAGTAGATCACACTTGGCATCATCTACTACTACTACTACTACTACAACATTGTATTTCCATCCCTCCTTTTTTCCTCTTTGAAGGAACCCAAGTTGGCCTATGTCGGGCTCCACCACTCTGCTTTATCCTCACAGGATCAATCTTGTGAGGTTGATTAGATGGAGAGTGAGTGGCCTGCCCAAAGTCACCTGGTGAGCTTCATGGCTGAGTAGGTAGGATTGTGGAGGTGGATCTCCCAGGTCCCCCTTCCTTCCCCCCCACTGCTGATCCCGAATGCAGTTTTATACATGTTTAGATAGAAAGGTCCAGTAACTCCTGGCATTCCCCTGCCAAACGTGTAGGAGCCTTTTTGTTGGAACATGCATAGAATTTAACTCTTAGGGTGTTTAAGGTTCCTCGTGTTATCTCGGCATCACGGGGGAGGGCAGATGGTAGTGCTCCAGATGTTTTGAAGTTCAGCTCCGGGAAGCCCCTATTAGCACGCTAAATGCTGGGAGCTGAAGTTCAGAACATGGAAATCTGCTTTCTCTTAGCTCTGCATTGCCATATTCCTTTAAAATCAGTTTTCCTCATTGCAGATGGGGAACTGAAGCCAAGGCTGAGTGATTAGCTTAATAGGCCCTCCCTCACCCTTAACAGCTGTGGTGTCACCTGAGTTAGGGTGTCTGTGCAGAGGATTTACTGTAAAGCCAGGTCCATGTACCATCTTGGCTCTCCTGCCTCCACCTTCTCTGGTGCTCATTCTGTTGCCATTTCATTTCCCCCAAAGTGAGACGTAAACCTTTCTCATGTGTGCGTGTGTGTACTGCTGGTAAGTAATTCTCAAATGCTTTATTCCTTAATGGTCGTATTGAATTGGGTGTGCAAATGTTCCAGCGACTAACTCTTCTAAGTGATTCCCCTCCACATCCATATCCCATTTGGAATCTGCTCTAAAGGACAAGAATAATGTGCAGAAAATTTTGTTGTCTCTGTTGGGAGGTTCTGAACTCTTGAAACATGCTATCTGGCCGGATGTTTTGAGATGAGCTAAAAATGTTACCATTCTGAAATAAGATACAAATCTGGGAGTTCTGCCACTCATAAAGAATGATAATTCAATGTGTGCTTCCAGCTAATCGCTGCTTTTGCGCAGCCTCCAGGAGGACTGGTTGTGATGGCTTCCTCCCAAAAAATATAGTTGTAGATGGTTTGGGGGTTAGTTCGTATGTTAGTATTGACAGGGAAAATGCACATTATCAGCACTGCTTCTGTCCCTTCTCCCTCTCTCCATATCAGCAAAAACCAAGCTGGAGAAGCCTTCTCCCTCCCTGCCCTTCCCTTTCCTCGTTTGCACCCCCTGTTCCAACACTGTAGCAAGGAGAAAGCTGTTACTGCTCTCTTGTCTACTCGAGAGAAGGGGCTGAGGCAGTGAGAGGTCTGTTAGCAAGTAAAGACAGCCGTGCCCCTTTTGACTGGATGGGCAGCAGCAACGGGACTCTCCTTGCCGGAGTGCAAGGCATGGCAGAGCAAGGGAAGAGTGAAGTGCTCGGAATTTTCCATCCCTCTGCCTTATATTCAGCTGGTGTGGTGAATTGGAGGCAGACTTCATTCCAAGCAAATGCGTCTGGATCCCGTTTCCCCGTGGGCTTGGGTGCTGAAGACCTGGCACAGCCTGTCCTTACATGGTTGCCGGATGCACAGCGTGGTGGGATGCACGAGTCCTGACGGAGGTTCCCATCTCTGCAGACCCAACCCAAGTTGGCTTTGTGCATCTCTGGCCCATCAGGTTGTCCTTGGCCACCCTGTTGCTAGATTAACGATCCACAAGACTCCTGAGGACACTTCTCTGGTGTGGTGGCAGAAACTGAAGCTGCAATGGCTGTCCAGGGAGGTCATGAATGAAAGGGTGGGGGAGGTAACCAACACACTTGGCCTCTGCCTGTCTCTTGTTATATAGGCATCATGAGATGGTATCCTTTTCTTGTCTCCCTCTTCTCCGCTTGCATGCCCATGTGACACATTCTTCAGAAGGCATCCTGTTTTGCTTTCCTTCTACCTAATCTGGCTTGGTGTGCAGTTCCTTTCTGTTTTGAAGTCTGATGTACCTGCTACCTCTCCCGCCCCTTCCCTCCCCCTTGAAGGTTATTACCAGAAAGGCACCCATGCACTAATTTCCTCTTCTCTTTTCCTTCCTCTTCTGTAGCTTTGCAGGTACTATTCCTTTAGTCTCCTCCTTTCTGTCTCTGGTGTTTCCTTTTACTAATCCTCTTTTTTCTCTTCTTCCTTTTTTCTCCCCTGTTGCCCTGCTTGGGAACATCCAGTGTGTCCAGGGCACAAAAGAGCTTTTGAGGACCCTCTGCGCCTCGTGGCAAAACCCAAGGCGAACCCAAGAGGCCCTGTCTAATATCTGAAAGTACAGCCATTGCCACCACCTGTGCCTCTCCACCCTCCAGGGCTATCCAATTTTTATATTGCTGCATCTCTTCCCGCTTCATGGCAAGCATAGGGAGATGCCACCATGCACAAGGAAAAAGCTATTCCAAACCCTTGAGGCCCGGAGGTGTTCCTGCCGTCTGTAGGGTTCGAAGCTTAAAGCCATACAAGTCACCTGCTGTGAGTGCAATAATGAGCATTCCTACTGTCCCCCGTACCTGGGGGGGAAACGGACTCCAGCATCTAAGCACACCAAGGCCGTGGGAGGATTCCTATATCTAGCCTTACTCTGCAGCAAAGATGTCTCAAGGCTTCAAAGTTCCTGAGAGAGGTCTTTCTTCTTCCCCAGCCCCAGTGCACTTGTCTTGTTGAGAGTCGGTGTGGTGTCTGTAGCTGCAGCAAAGCAGGCCCTGTTAAGAGTATGTTTACCCTAGCATTTAATGTACTTCTGTTTGGTCCATTTAGTCAGAGTATGCATTTCTTCATATACAATGTGGTGCACTAGAGCTAATCTAGGCTCTGTGTGTGTGTGTGTGTGTGTGTGTGTGTGTGTGCGGTGTGATTCCACAGGAAGGTAGGGAGACAAATCACAATGTGGTAATGAATGCAGAATTCAACTTCCTGAATTTTTTTTAAATGTAAAGTCAGTTTTAAACTATAGATATGAAGATACGCTTTCCAGTGTGTGTGCAATTTCTACTGAAATCTCAGAAACCAGTTGGATGGTGCAGACAGATTTCCACAGCTTACCGTGGAAATTCAGTGCTCAGTCTAGCTCTTCGCCTCCCTCCATTACTGGCAAAATCTGAATTATGCAAATTTGTGAAATGTGCTATGTAAAATAAGTCAACTTGCATTCTGTACAGACACTGCACAATTTAGCTGTCCTTGGTGCAGAATTTTAATGGTTTTGTTCATTTTTCTTGAGCAAATACGGGCTCCTGCGCCTGTTTCTGTCCTGGGCTACCATGGGAGGATCGTAGGGATGTAGTTGCACCGCTGTTACAGCCTGCAAACTGGACCTTGCAGAGCTTGTGGATTCAGGACTCGAGTTGTTTTTTTGGACTTCGTATGAAGAGGGAATATGCAAAGTCCCTAGTTAGTTTGGAGTTAGTATTTTCTAACCCTTAACTTGCTAATAAGTTAGCCTGTTGCTGTTGTTGCTGTTGTTGCTGTTGCTGTTGTTGTCTTAGAATTGCTCTAGATTCCCCCTTTGCTCCTGGTCCTCCAAAAACAACTAACAGCAGTATATTGTGATGTTCATCTAATTATTCTGTGTAGAATTCTGCCCTTGCCTTACCTACTTTAAGCCCAAGGAGCAGAGTAGAGAACTGGGAGATTGTCAGGAGACTCTACATAGATTATAAAACCAACCCCTTTGGTGCCCCGTAACTGTAATTTCCTGGGGTTTGAACTCCATCTATGCCTCTCACTTTTGTAACAATAAAATCTCTCCTCTCCTACTCCATGACTATCTGGTTTCTGTGCTAAATCAATGTGAATGTTTTCCTTATGTTCATTTGTACCTGTAGCTGTGAGTTTCCCTGTTCCTTTCTGATGCTGGAGAACAGCGCTGTATATGTGCACACACATGCATACTCTGAAATCCAGGATGGGGTGTGGTTTTTCACGATTTAACAAAGTGCTGTTTTTTTAGCCCTTAATGCTGTAGTGGTTGGCTTGAAAGTGGTTGAGCTCAGCACCCAAAAAAGTAAATAGGTGCAGGGAGTGCACTATGCGCTGTAAATTGGGACTCTTGGATGCCGGAGCAGCTTTACAATCCCAGTCCAGATCACTTCCTTTACACAATAATTCAAAAACCCCTGGCTTTTGTCCTTTTTGACCAAAAAAGGGGAGGGGGTTGGTTTGGTGCAATAAATCTTGCAAATTAGGGACTGGACTGGACTATACAATACTGGGAAAGAGCACACCTGGCTGACTGAAGCTCTGAAAAGGAGAAACACCCATTGCAACATCTGTGGCTGAACAACATCCTAAAATACAAGAGAAGCAGCAGTTGCATAGATCCATAAAATTTAGCAGAACAGATAACATTGCCATTAAAAGCATAGTTTCACTGCACTCTGAAATGTCTGGGGAAATAAAGTCTTTGTCTGGTGATGAAATGACATTAAAGTTGGCACCAGGCAAGCTTCTCTGAGTAAAACATCCCATAGATGGGGTACCGTGATGAAAAAGAGCCTCTTTACAGTAAACCCTTTAACCAGAATGCAGGACAGTATTCTGTGATCCGGCCATTTGTTTGTGTATGAGGAGTGTGATCTTGGCGGTTTCATTTCCAGTTCCTTTTCTAATTATGTCTAACATGGAGTTTGTGTTGGTCACAACAGCCACACACTGGACTGACATTTTAATTCAGCTGTCCAATGCAATCCCAAGAAGTTTTTCTTGGTCAGTCACAACCCCTGGCTCAGATCCTATCCTTTTATATTGCAAGCAGGGTTCTTGCCTTAAGAGCTACCCTGAATCTATTTCTCATCAACATCTAGCAATGCCCGGAAGCTTGATCTTGGTCTGGAGATCTGAATGTCCCTCAAAAATACTTCACTTTTAACTACCTGAAGAGCTGTGACCATAAAAGAAGGCAAAGGCCTGGTTCTTTGCTGTTCCCGAGGGCAGGACTTGATCCGATGTGGGGCTGTAGATTCCAGATGAACATTTGGCAACATGTCGGAGCAGTTCAGGTTGGTGGGCTCTTCCTTCCTTGAGGTCTTCAAGCAGAAGCTGTTCAGAAGTCTCTACATTCTAGCTCTGCATTTTTTGCCTCAAGTTTGTGTGTGGTTGGACTAGATAGCCAGCAAAGCACTCTTTGCATCTGTGGTTCTATTAAACCAGACATCCTTCTGGAAATGTTCTTGGAGGTGTCCAGGCATGTTTTGAGTCTCCTCCTCTCTTTCTTCCACCACCATAGGCATCCCTCCTAAGCAATCTCAGGGAGGCATCCCCTCCTCCCAACCAGTTGAAAGGAGAGTCTGAGTTCCGGTCTGTGTCACTGGATTAAGGTACTACAAAGGGGTTTAGCTCACACACCACTTGCATAGACTAGGCGTGAGTCACTCTGATGGAACAATTCGCTGTCTAACTGGAGCATCTGATTTATCGGCTCTGCCCCTCCCATCCCATGGCTAACCTGGGATGTATCATCCACATCCCCCAAAGCACTCCGTAGTACAAGGAATTTGTCATCGAGCTGGGCTCTTTCTCTACCCCACCCCTTCTTTTTGGCAATGTCAGAAGAAAGAATAAGTCTTCCTTTGACAAGTGGCAACAGGTTTCATTCTGAGAGTGAAATGTTATTGTAGCTTTATATGGGCTGCTGCAGAAAGTGGCAAAGCACAGACGAGAAGGTACTGAAAATAATTGTTGAAGAGACTTTGTAAGGAGTGTGCATATGTATGCATAAAAACCTGGGTGGAAGTTACTGGTTGACCTGGAATTCTATTTGAATCTGGAAGGTTTTGGGAGGTGGGGCTGGAAGATTGCGGTAGGGTGTCTGCCTATAAATCATAGAAAGAAAGAGGTGGGGGGGAGTGCTTGTCTGTGATGTATCATGGCAGTTTCACATAAGACGACAGTCATCAACTGAGCAGATGCCTACGCTCACATATACACATCTCTCAAAGGGAGAGTCCAATCTTTCCCATCAAACAGCAAAGTAACTATTAGGTGTGGGAAATGCTTTTGGAGGCTTTTTAAAGAAAAAAAATCAACAAGCTCAGTTCACTTGAGTCTGCACAATTCTTGATGTCTATAACTGATTACCTTCCTGTTCCATTGCACGCACAGAGGCACATGCCTTTTATCCTAAGATACATATTTTGTATGCATTCTTATCCTAGAATAGTTTATCTTCAGTTTGCCCAATAATGAATGTTCATGGGGCAGATTACAAAGTCAAAAGGATAAAATACAGTGCAAATTGCTGAAAAAATAAAACGGTGCAAAATGATATACAGCTCAGGAACATTTAAATACTAAGAGCGAAGAAAAGCATAAGCCTAAAAAAGCTTGGTCTGTAAAATGCCTGAGAGGAAAGGGAAGGTTTTTGCCTTGGCAGGGCATTCCATAAATGGAGAGCCAGTGTGGTGTAGTGGTTAGGAATGTGGGTCTGGGACTCCGGTGATCCGGGTTCTAGTCCCCACTCATCCATGAAGCCGACTGAGTGACTTTGGGCCAGTCACTGCCTCCCAGCTCAACCTATCTCACAGGGTTGTTGGGATAAGTTTGAGAGCAAGAGGAGAGAATGATATACGCCACTTTGAATTCTTTGTAAAAAAAGGCAGGATATAAATCTAAGGAATAAATAAATGGTGGATCTGTATGCATCTTAACCTAAAATACATATTTTATATGTTTTTGGTACATAGAAATGTTACTAATAATTATTATTATTAAAATGTATTAGCTACTCTATGTCCATCAATGACTATTAGTCCTGACAGAAAGGGAAATCTGCCTGTTCAGAAACAATGTTCCTTTTAGCACCACATACCAGGCAAACTCACTTCCCCATTATGGAAATGATTTCCCAGGAGACCCAGCCAGTGCTAACATGGTCATCTTTTCAGTGCCAGGTGAAGACTGTTCTCCACTCCCAGGTGTTTAATGGCATATAATGGGATATGTCATCTCTTTTAACTGCTCTGGGATTTTTTTTAAACGTAGTTGTTCAAATGGTTTCTGAAGTTTTATATTTTAGCATGTTGGGCATCATTTTACTGAATCTGTTTTAATGCTGTATTTTTATTATTATATCTGTGTTTTATGCATTGCTGTGATCTGCCTGGAGAGCTTCAACTATTGGGTAGTACAGAAATTAAACAAAGAACCATCATCATAATCAAGTGATAAGGCACTTCATGGTTAGTACCTCATCAGCCTGCATATGATGCATCCCCCCAAAATATGCATACTCTTCCTCACCCCCCCACCACATATATTTAATATCAAGTTGGTGGGGAGAAGACCAGGGTGAACTTTTCTCCCTGGCACACTAGCTTGCTGCATGCAGGATTAAAATGCATTTTAAGGCAAAACATTCTAACATGCCACCGTGGTGGTTCATACCCGGAAGAGCCAAACCGCAGCTCTTCTGGCTGAATAACCCATGTTCAAATTCCCAAGGCAGAGCGATATTTCACGAAGTCTGAGATGCAGTGGGACCACTGGCAAAAGCAGGACCGAGAATGTGGAGAACGGAAAGGCAAAGTACAGCCTTGCACAAGCTGGTGCCCCCCAGAAGTGTTGGACTGCAAATCCAAGCATTCCTGCCTATTGGCTGTGCTGATGGGACTTGGAGTGCAACACATCTGGTTAGGGAATGCAGGGTGCAGGTTGGATCAGCAGGGACTATGTGTGCTGCCCCCTGGAGGATACGAAAAATGCTTTGTTCGGGCTTCCAGCATGTGGCCCATCTTTCTGCCCACCCCCATTAAAGGCTCTGCTGGGACAAGCGGCCTCTTGCCCAGGAGGTCTCGGAACAGGGTACGCTTCCTCATCCCGAGCAGGTATGTGTTTGTTCATTCACTCACTTGCTCCAAGGTGAATCATGGCAGCTTTCCTTTTAAGGAGCGGCTGCACGAAAGGAAATGGGGGAAGGGTTCATTCAGAGCCTTTGCACCACGCCTTGTTCTTGCTCCAGGCAGAGACGCCAAGCCAAAAGCCGATCCCAGCTAGTGAACTCAGCAGAGACTTGGACGGCTCTCCAGGCAGCTGCTTGCTCCCTCTCGAAGCCGACCTCCTCACCCAGGGCTCCCTTCCACTGCCCCCACGATGGCCAGGAACCACCAGGTGCAGAAAGCCAAGCTGGCTGAACAGGCCGAGCGCTATGAAGACATGGCTGACTTCATGAAGGCGGTGGTGGAGGACGGGGCTGAGCTCTCGAATGAGGAACGCAACCTCCTCTCTGTTGCCTACAAGAACGTGGTCGGCTGCCAGAGGTCCGCCTGGAGGGTCATCTCCAGCATCGAACACAAAACTGAAGAAGGAGATGACAAAGCTCAGCTGGTCAATGAATACCGGGAGAAGATCGAATCGGAGCTGAAGGATGTCTGCAATGTTGTCCTGGGACTGCTGGACAAGCATCTCATCAAGAAAGCCAGTGACCCAGAAAGCAAGGTGTTCTACTTGAAGATGAAAGGTGACTATTTCCGCTACCTGGCCGAGGTGGCCACTGGCGATGACCGCAAGGCGATCATTGACAATGCCCGGAAAGCTTACCAAGAGGCAATGGACATCAGCAAGAAGGAGATGCAGCCCACCAACCCCATCCGCCTGGGCCTGGCCCTCAACTTCTCTGTCTTCCACTACGAGATCGCAAATGCCCCAGATGAAGCCATCAAGCTGGCCAAGACCACCTTTGATGAAGCCATGGGCGACCTCCACACGCTCAGTGAAGACTCCTACAAAGACAGCACCCTCATCATGCAGCTTCTCAGGGACAACCTCACGTTATGGACGGCAGAGTGCTCAGGAGAAGAAGGGGGAGAGGCTGGCGAAGAGCCAAAGAACTGAACTTTCCAGCCCGTGGAACGACGGTAACTCCCGTCTCTCTCAATCTCTCTCTTTTCCTCCTGTTCCCAAACAACCCTATTTTTATAAGATGTGTCTCCAGCACCTGAAAAGGGGACTGATTCGTATGCACGGGACTTGAGCGTTTACCTGACCCTCCTCATGTGGCAGCTTTCAGGTTATCTCTCTCCCAGGGCCCTCTTCTTTTGCTATGTGACCCCCGCTGCATCCGGAAGCTCCTTGCTTTGTATTAACTCTTGTGCCTGGTACAGCATACAGTTAACAGAAAGGATCTTCCTGATCTGTCACGGAGGATTGAGATATAGATAGATAGACGGAAATCTAGATATGTGTCAGTGTCGACCTGCTCACCAAAACAAAACTAAAACCAACAACCTGAGAACGTAAATATTGTTGTGCACGGCCAAGATACAAAAACAGGAGCTAAGCCACGTTAAACAAGCGTAGTTGCCTCTGTTTCCTTCAGTGCTTTTTATTCTGCGGGGGGTTTTCACGCTGGGCATCCTGTCACTGTAAGAAGATGGCGGTGGTGGGCCTGGGTGGGCGGGTGCACCGGGCAACTCTCCCGAGTCGCCATCTCAGGAGGGCATCTTTTACTGTGGTGTTTCTGAGGTGCTGTGCTACAGTATTCTTCCCAATAAACATTGACTTTGGCACCAGTCTTCTGCAGTTCTGGTCTTCCGTTTTCTATTTCATTTGCGCTTCCCGGGACGGTATGAGGGTGGAATGTGGCAGCCAGAGCTTGTTTGCTGGCATGCAGGAGGAGAGGAACGGGGGATCCTGAAAGCACACAAGTCGAAGCAAGAAGAGCAGGTTGATGAATGCTAGCCAACTTTCCCTCTGCTCTTCTGAAAGCAGAGCTGTGGCAGTGGGTGGGGAGAGAAGCTGCGCCTGCAGACAGAGCGGTGCAACCTGCAGATGTGGTGCGGCCTTATCTGGGAAAGGAAGAAAGGAGGGTGGAGTAGCAGAACAGCCCGGAGGAGGCTCTTGGGGACAGGAATGGCTTTGATGTGGGTGGAAAAGGGAGGCTACCCCTTACTCAGGAGAAAAACACGTGTCTACTTTTCTGTGTGCCATAAAAGCCAGTTGCTTGCTTAGGTGGCAGAGGAGACTGAGCAAATCACAGCACGGGTTGCAGTTTTGACCAGTGTATTAAATAAAATTAACCGGTTGACATCCTGGAATTCTTTTAACAATGACTCCTCTGCGGAGAATCCCGTTGCATGGCAGAATACTGGAGACGGGTGCCTTTCAGACAAGGCTATCGGTTCCCCACAGGAGCCAAGGGCATTAGCAGCAACAGGACCAAACTTCTTCTCAGGCTGGGCAACGAAGAGCGGAAAGGCAGTGCTGTGCTGCTCCAGGCCCGTCTTTGCATGTGGACGTCCCGGTTCAGCTGCAGGCCTCTCCTGGTGGGGAGGGGAAAGGGCCCCACAAAGGGTAGCTTTCCACGTAAGTCCAATCAGAGCAAACAGGCAGCTTCTGAGGGAAGCTTGTCTGCCACATCAGATCTCCTCAGAGGAACACCTGAGACACTTAAAAGCAAAATGAAGAAACATGCGTACATCGGAATGGCCTTGGAACATACTTCAAAGATCACTACCTTGCGAAAAAAAATAACCACAAACATCCCACTTCATGCTTGACACAAACATTTTAGGAAACTGCATGGCCTCTTGTCACAGGGTAGGTACTTTTCAGATTACCAGTGGACTTCTCCAGCATGAGTGATCCTCAAATTGCTTTCCTTTTTAAAAAGTGATTTTTCCATTCATTCATTCATTCATTCATTCATTCATTCATTCATTCATTCCATTTGTAAACTACCCAATAATTAAAGCTCTTTCTAGCTTTCGTAGTCATTTTATATTGAGTGGTGGGGACGCACCAGGATTGTGGTCAGGGGTCTTCTTCAGCCCTTCCTGCAGCAGCTGGGTTCAAACCTTTGGCCCCAGAGAGAGTGTTTTGCGCTGAGCCACCGTTTCCCTTGGTTTTGCCTTAGTTTCCAGGGGGCCTGTGGGGTGATGTGCAGTATGACCACTGTTTGCACAACCCGCAACTTGCCGTGTGGTGGTGCAAGCACAGGCATTGGTGTGACAGCTCCCCAGGTGCTGGGGGAGCCCAGTGGCCCCTGACATGTGAGTGAGAAATGGCCCTCCTCCTGCATGCTTAACATGTCTGCTCTTGTTTCACCTTAAGCAGGACTGTATTGGCAGGGCTTTGACTTAAGCAGAAGTGGGCTGCCAAAGGGCCAGGAGCTGGCGATGCTGGGCGTGGAGCCCTAAACACCTGGAGAGCCACTTCCTGCCCACCCCATAGGAGACGATTAACTCCCAAATGCCACACCAGTTCAGATTAGAACTTTCCAGTAAAAGTTCAAGGAAAAGGCAATCTCAGTCCTAAACTCTGACCTGCAAGTCATCCTGGCTAAAAGTCTGCATGGTTTTCCACCAGACCCATCCAACTGCTTTTTGATTCTGTGCTCTGAAAAAAGGATTACACATTTATCAAACTGAAAATACTAATTTAAGAGCTGCCCTTTCCTGATGCATGAAATCACAGATATTTAGGCCTGCATGCAACATAATGGCCTATGTAGTTCCCACTCCACGGAAACACACTGCAGAAGTATGACTTGAAAAAAATCTTCAATACAGTATTGAGGGTCACTCTTTGCTTTCTTGCAAATCACTTTCTTAAACCTTACAACTATCAGTAAGTGCACTGAATAGGTTTCCAGAGCAGCAAAACATTGCATTGCGTGGAGATGAATGTTGTCACTTTGCTCAGTTGCTGCAGGTCAAATCACAGGGCTGAGTGAAGTCGGCCATCCCACCACACCTCCGCGTGTTTGCAGCCAAATGGGGGCCCTCTGCGTCGCAGCATCAGCAGCACCTGTGTCACTGGGGGGGTCTTAAACTCTGCCACACGGAGGGCCAACATTCTGGTCTGGTGGTCCTTTGCAGGCCACAACTATCTCCCCTCATGAGACCAAATCCAGCCCACCTGGGATCCAGCTAGCCCTCAGAGGTGTTCCTGAAGGATATTTTCCTAGCCCAACCATGGATTGTCTCATGGTTTCCTCGCTTTCCTGCAACTGCTCTGCCCATTCTAGAATAGTGACTTGTTTCCCCTAAGGCTTGCTTATGGGTGGCAAGAGCTTCAAGTTAAAATATTCTGGTATTTTGCCTTCATCCCTTTTTGTGCTGAGTCCCACCCATCGCTGGAATGCAGCCCTCCCCAGGAGTTCTCTGAAACTGAATTCAGGCTGAAAACGGTGCAACACCCATGCCTTACTGTGTCACCACGGGAGAGATTACTTCCAAGGGTTTAATATAAAAAATAGCTGCAGTGTTTCTCCACTGAGACCATCCAAGCAGGGAGTTTGCATCTAGGTCAGGGGAGGTAGTGGGTGTGGGGAGCAATTTCCCACCCACCATGAGCTGCACCCCCACAGCCAAATAGCTGCTGCCAAGTTGCTGCCAACATTTGATAGCTATTTGGTGACACCAGAACTGCTCCATTTTTGCTTTAGTGGGGGGCGTGCCTTATTTTAAAGCATAATCACACTCTCAAATGGTCCAGGAAGTACCATTTTCTATTAAAACAAGAGGCATGCTTCCTGCATCCATTGTGTGAAAGTGAAAAATCCTGCATTTTGCCCTTTCTGCTCCAAAATTCAACAGTGAGTTGGGAGGCTTGCAAAGGAGGCCAGGTTGGCCTGTATGTTACCCATTCCCGATCTAGGCTGAAAAACTAATTGCCAGACTCAGGGTTTCTTTGATAGTTCTGCTGCTGCTGCTGCTTTTTCTCATAAGCATGTGGTCAAAATGTGGCTCACTTCAGTATGCAATGAAGCCTAAATCTCTGAGCCTTTGGCGTTTCAGAGGATGGCGTAAAGGAACAACTGGTCCTCCCTGGACAACAGTTTCAGAATGGCTAGATTACTGCCAGTTATTAAAATATAGCTCATGGACTGATCTTAGAACTGGATTTAAGTTAGACTAACACTGGACACATTCATATGTATGCTTTGACTGATAAAACAAGGAAAATTTATAAAATAAGTCCATGCGATGGGATGCCAGCAATTTTCAAGCAGTCCATTGAACAAAAAACAGCCACACTCCAGTGGGAAACCCTAGTGCACAAACCCCACTGAAAGGAACTGGAAAGGGGGTGACAGAAATTCCCTTTGGTGGCTCAGATCTTCCATTCTGCCACGCCTAGCACCTGCCATGGGGGCCTTTGCCTCTAAACTTCTGACATTCAACACTGATCCTTGCTAACCGGGATGCTTCTAGAAGCCCAATGTTCCAAGAGAGCTCTGCTTCGGAGCAGCTGATGCAAGAGAGCCCGCCTGCCCCCGCCCCCCCCTCCCAGGGCCGATGGAGGTGGAGAACGCTCTTGCTCATCAAACATGCTTAATTGCTCAGGGAAAATGAATAGGGAAAGTTTCACAAGCAGATAGTTGCTGACTCAGTGCGTTAGTAGAGCTGGTACTTAATGAGCATTCATAGTGAGCCCAGGATTACCATGCAGGAGGATCCTCCACGCAGGAAGCAAGGGTCTGATTTCTCTCAAGGCAAAGTGCCCCCCAGACAATACTGAGGATGGTTGTCTGCAAATCAAATCCCTCAGTGGGTTGCAATCCCATTTGGTGTGGCTGTTGGGTCTTCGAGGAATAATAGAGAGTGCTGGGTATGGGAGCACACTCACCGTTTACTCATCCATTTCAAGATTGTCCTGGAGGCTCTGGGTAGATCAGAACTTTCCCATTCAGCCCTTCCCAACCCAATGACCCAATGGGTGGGCCCCTCCGTGCTCACATCTTGCAGCCAGAGGCAGAGAGGCTGAGAAAGACACCGGCAACGTGCCAGAGGGCCTCTTGACACAGATGGAATTTGAACTCGGAGTTCCCAGTCACGCAAGTGCACTAGAGTTCTCACATGGTCTTTGCTGATTCTACTCCTGTGTCATCAGGCAGGATGTAGGTAACCTAAAATCAATTTCTCTCTGTGGCAGGAAAAGGCTTAAGGTTGGCATTGTTGTTCTCAGAAAGTACTGGAACTGAACAGGTATTTCAGGTGCAGCTTTGCTAGCACAACGTTGGGTATACTTGGCTCCACCATAGTGCAAGTGAGAAGGATCTTGGAACTGTTGTAGATCACAAGTTGAACATGGGTCAACAAATGTGATGTGGCTAAAAAGAGGAGGAAATTCTATTTTGGCTGCATTAATAGAAGTGTAGCTTCCAAATAACATGAAGTATTGGTCCTCCCTACTCGGCATCTGGTTAGGCCTCATCTGGCCAGTTCTGGGCATCACAATTGCAGGCAAGTGGGAAAGGGGTCAGAGGAGGGCAACAAGGATGATCCGAGGATGGGAAACAAAGCCCTGTGAGGAGAGATCAAAAGAACTAGGCACGTTTAGCCTTGGGAAGAGAAGACTGAGGGGAGATATGATAGCTGTCTACAAGGACATGAGAGGCTGTCACAAAGAGGAAGGCGATGATCTCTTCTCGATCATCCCAGAGAGCAAACACGGAACAATGGGCTCGAGCTGCAGCAAGCCAGCTTCTGGCTGAACGTCAGGAGGAGCTTCCTGGCTGTGAGAGCAGCACAGCAGTGGAACCCAGCATTGGTTGGCTCTCTCACACTG